GTCACAAATTTGGCCCTACAGGAGATTTGTCCAGGTATAAAGCTCGTTGGGTAGTCCGTGGGTTTAATCAGCGCTATGGCGTTGACTACAACGAAACGTTAAGTCCGGTCATTAAGCCCGCCACCATTCGCATTGTCCTCAGTCTTGCCCTGTCTCGGGGTTGGCCCGTTCACCAGCTGGACGTCGAAAATGCTTTTCTTCATGGACATCTTCAGGAAACAGTTTATGCCAGCCAGCCATCCGGTTTTGAGGATCCATCCCGGCCCCACTATGTTTGCAAACTTAAGAAAGCACTCTATGGATTAAAACAGGCTCCTCGATCTTGGTACCAGCGGTTTGCCGGCTTCCTTCAGCACATCGGGTTTCAGGGGTGTAAGACGGACACTTCTCTATTTGTTTACTCTCATGGAACGCACATGGCTTATCTACTTCTATATGTTGATGATATTGTCCTCACTGCCTCATTCTCCGCCCTTCTCACACGGATCACGGACCGCCTGAAGACCGAGTTTGCTATGACCGATATGGGTGAGTTACACTTCTTTCTCGGGATCAATGTTCAGCGCACCAAGGACGGCCTCTTCCTACATCAGACTCAGTTCGCTCATGATATTCTGGACAAAGCAGGCATGCTTCACTATAAGCTCATCTCCACTCCTGTTGACTCGAAAGGGAAAATGTCTGCCACCTCAGGCGAACCTGTTACGGATCCGTCCCTCTATCGCTCCCTTGTAGGAGCCCTCCAGTATCTCACATTCACCAGGCCGGATCTCACTTATGCAGTTCAGCAGCTCTGTCTCCATCTCCACTCGCCTTGGACCACTCACCTTACTGCCTTAAAACGGGTTCTGCGCTATCTTCACGGCACCACCACTCATGGGATTACTCTTACTCGTTCCTCGCCAGATTCCCTTCGGGCCTATTCCGATGCTGACTGGGCCGGGTGTCCAGACACACGTCGCTCCACCTCTGGCTACTGTGTTTTCCTAGGGGACAATCTGGTCTCATGGTCCTCCAAAAGGCAACAAACCACCTCCGGTCGAGTGCTGAGGCCGAGTACAGGGCGGTCGCAAATGCCGTAGCAGAAACCAGTTGGATATGTAATCTACTTCTTGAGCTTCATCAACCACTGCGCCGAACCACCATCATCTTTTGTGATAATGTCAGTGTCGTCTATCTATCCTCCAACCCTGTCCAGCACCAACGCACCAAGCATGTGGAAGTTGACATTCACTTTGTTCGAGACAAGGTCGCTTTAGGACATGTTCGTGTTCTTCATGTACCATCCTCCTTGCAGTATGCTGACATCTTTACGAAAGGACTACCATCTCTCCTCTTCATCGACTTCAGACAGAATCTCGGAGTCCGTAGCTCGCCGACGGAGCTGGTAGCATGTTAAATATGTAAAGTATATATCACATATTTAATATTATTGTTATATTTGGTAGATTCCTTGATTGTATAGGATTTGTATTTAATATTGTTTCCCTTCCTATACACCTCCTACATGTATATAAGGGGAGGTGATTTACTTGTACTCCCTCCGTCCGGAATTAAACTTCCCGGTTTGACTTTTCCTCATTTTTATGAGAAGTTGACTTTGTGTACAATTTGGCCAAAATACGCCTACCCTTCCCTGCGCAAATCAGCCCCAAATTCAATTCATCTCCTCAAATTTTCGATCGAAGAACGCACATCGGAAGCCGGCAAAGGCTTCCTCTGCCGTGAATACCTTTCCACACAAACAGATCTCTAGATCCCAACTACAGCGGCCTAGGATCTTCTATGCGCTGGATCGAAGAAGGGCACAACTTGAATCTACTCTTCTGCTCAAATTTTCAATCGAATAACAATAGGCAATGCTAATCGCAATATTTCGATCCAGATCTGAAAAAAAACAACCGCTTCAAGAAAAAGAAGAAGAAGAAGAAGAAAACGAGAAGAAGAAGAAAAGGAAGGGAGGAGGGGAGAGATTTTGGGAAGATGATGGCTAGATCGAGTCGAGAAAAGAAAGGGGGGAAAGAAGAAGAAGAAGAAGAAGAAGAAGAAGAAGAAGAAGAAGAAGAAGAAGAGGAGGAAGGAGGAGGTGGTGGTGGAAGAAAACGTGGAGGTGAAATAAATGAAGGGGAGAGGGAAGAGAGAGAGGACAGACGGAGAAACGAACAGAGAAAAGAAGAAAAAGAAGAAACGGAAAAAAAGAGGAGATTGAGGGTATTTTTGGAAGAGGGGTGATAAAAACGTAGAATGGGAAGATTATTTTCGGACGGGAAAAAACGTAGAGTGGGAGATTATTTCCGGACGGAGGGAGTAATGATTATCAAATTAATACATTTCTTCAATTATCAAAATTTCCTCGTATAGAGAAATTTTGAACTTTGAATTTATCAAAGCTATTAAAAGTCATGTTTTTTTACTAACCAAACAGGTCTTAAATTTGTATTTCACTCATTAATCATCATTCTAAATCTATCGTAATAGTCATTTTGAACAAACACAATATTTCAAAAAGCACTAAAAATTAAATAAGTATACTTGAAATTAATTTGAAATGGAGAGAAATATTAATGAACATATATTTCTTCCCAAAAAAATTAATTATTACTTTGAGACGAATAAAAAAGTGTTATTTATTTTTGAAACAAATAGTTTTTTAAGTAAAATAAATTTAATTAAATTGATGCGAGACTTAAGACATCATATTGATAGAAACCCAATATTAATCGAGGGGAAAAAAGGACTAAAATGTATAGAAAATACCAAATAATATCTAACTCGTAAGGATTAAAACATAGACCATAAACCTGAAATATGACTTCTATTATTTTATTCTCAGAATAAGACAATTGTATTGTGTCAACTTGGCATTGTACACTAATGTTTTAAAGTATGTTTTGGCATTATATGTTGATATTATTTGTATTGTAAGTCGAGTCAGTGATTTGGTCAACTCTTCGAAAGATGATAGACCGAGCGAATTTCTTGGAAGAGTTATCTGGGGTAAGGACATAAACATGCACAAATAGTTTTCCACAAAAAATCATTGACTCGGTGATATAGACTCGGGTATAACTCCTAGTCTCGGTGATAGCTTATTAGCCTACAGACCGGGCAAGTGGTGGTTTTAAGGAAGACATGTGGATGAACCTACACATCGTCGAATGACACCTAAAGTAAATCGGAAATGATCGTTTTGGGCCTACTAATCAGTGATGTGACGTTGAAGTCTAAAGACTAGCGTCTAAGAATATATTCCAAAGAGCTATATTCCAAAGAGTATAATTGGTCATATGTCTATGATGAATCACATTTACCCTCAATTTTCATCTATAAAAAGTCTTGTGCAATCCAATTTGGGATAGCTCTATAGTCTTGCATATTGTCTCTCTTTCTATTCTCCTGCTTAAAAAAATTAATAACAACTAGATTACATGAATTTTCACCTATTCTCTTTCTGTAACCTTGTATTATAGTTTGGTACGAAGTACGGAGTAATTAGTTTTTATAGACTTTATTCAATACTTTGATTTGATTTAAAATAGTGTGGTTTATATAATTTACACCGTAACTAACAATTAACATCAGTTTTCTCTATAACTTCTATGTTTAGGGTAAGGTCCAAATTAAGTACTCCGGTCATTTGGTTGAGATAAACATTTTTCCAAAGTTAGTTTCATTCAACAAGAAGAAATTAATTTCCGTTCCATTTTAAAGAGAAATTTCTACTCTCTCCACTCCCGCCCCTGCCCTTTTCCACTCCATGTGAGATCCCTCTGATTAGAGATGAGCAAAAGGACCGATGCGGTCAGACTAGACCGATCTTTGGAAAAAGACTGTTACAGTAAAAGACTGGACCAAACTAGTCTTTTTAAAACCCCGGTCCAATCTAGTACGGTCGGTAGTCCAATACGGTCCTGTCTCTAGTCCCAACATATTGGGTCAAGATTGTAGTTTTGAAATGTTGGGTTAGGGTTACAAAATAGTCCATCAACTCTTTTTGCATTAGTCGAGATTGCATGTTGCACTTCGTTTGCTCAATCGCTGATTCTCTAAGGACATCTCTCGGGACTAGCTCTACTGTTCTAGGACAGAGTGTTGTGACGCTTGAGTTTATCTTGAAACTCAAAGAAAATACTTAGGAGATAGGGGAAACCGAGAAGTATTAATCATTTCTAATTTGTATTGCTCTATATTATTTTTTTTAACATTTTTATACGTATTACTCCATATATACTACTCCATATGTGCCCTGTAATTTACAAGTAATATAATTAGACTCTAGAGGACTAGTTTTTTGGACTAGTCCTAGTATTTAGACCAATCTTTTACTAGTCTCGGACCGGTTCAGGTCTTTAAAATGTCTTTTACTAGTCTTAGACTAGTCCTAGTCCTCGATAAATATTAAGGAACATTTGAGACTACTGGTCTTGGACTAGACTAGTCTCAAGGACTACTTCGGTTCCAATATTTCAAGTCCAAATCCTAGTCGGTCTCGGTCAATCTTTTCGGTCCCAGTCATTATGCTCTTCTCTACCTCCGATCCCCATCTCATATTGCCCCCCACCCACCCTCGCCCCACACCACGTCTTCATCCTTCCAAAAATATATTTTCTTTCAACTAAATGAACCCTTATTTAGATAAATAAATAAGAGCATGCTACATGTACCCCAAAATTTGTATTCCATTTGTACACCAAAAGTATGCACTAAAATTTTGATGGTTCACATTGACACAAAGTATTAGTGCGTTAACAAAAATTTACACTGACACAAAGTGTTATTACATTAGCAAAAACTAGCATTATATCAATACAAAATGTTGATATATCCCTGCGGTGTACAAAATAGGATACAAATTCTTGGTATTCAAATAACATTATCCAATAAATAAGTGCAAGTTGCATCACAAGCAGGGGCGGACCTACAATGGTCCAAGTGGGGTCAAGTGCACCCACTAAATTTTTTTTCTAATGCTAGCTACAGTAGTAGTACAGTACCCCCTGCATATTCATGGACTCCTAGCTATTTTATAACTCCTACAGCTCTTAATATAATTACTCCCTCAGCTGCTTCCTAAAATATTTGTCACACTTATTTTTTCAGCAATCGCAGAAACTTTTATTTATTTCTATGTTTTCATTGGTTATTTGATAAAATAAAATATTGTTAATTAACACCTTTTATTCTGAAGAACTTTTCATGTAATTTTTTTATATGTAAGTTTTTCTATACCAATATGTAAATAAAATGAATTGAAAGAACTTGCCATTTTACCTCAGGAAAAAACTTGATATTTTAAGAACAGTAGGAGCATAAAGTATATTAGGGTGTTCACACTGTTAGCTACATATACTACGGAGTATCATAGAGTATCTACTTTTTTTTGCTCAAGGTGCTGCCTTAGTTTTCAACAAAGTATCCTTTGTTTATTTAGGTGTTTAATGTTCTCATTACTTCCTATTTTATAGAACTTTTGACTAAATTTTTAATTTCTATATCAATCTTTAAAAAAATGAATTTTTAAAAAAATTGAAATTTTGTTTCATTTTACATAAAATGTAAAATATTTTGGAACGGAAAAAAATATTATGTCTAACATGTAAGAAATGAACCCACTCTCATAAAACTCTAGGTCCGCCACCGATCACAAGTCCTTATCTTTCAACCATCCAAACTTGATTTCCAGAAAGCTCTATTTCATTTCAACTTGTGCTACTCCTCAACTCACTATATACGGCCTATATCTCAGGCAATACACAAATTCTTGTTCTTGATGCCCAATCTTGTTTTTTTTTCTGGGACGATGAAGATTGCGAGGTTCTGTTTATGTATCCTAATAATGGGTTTTTGCGAAGTGTTGCCAGCAGGTTGTAGGGGAAGCCGTATTCCGGCGGCGGCTCTGTTCATATTGGGAGATTCGCTTTTTGATGCCGGCAACAACAACTACCTTAAAAGCCCAATCGGCCGAGCTAATTTCTGGCCGTACGGGGAAACTTTCTTCAAGCATCCCACCGGAAGATTCACTGACGGTCGTATTATCCCTGATTTTATTGATAATATATTTTTCTACCTAATTATTATTATTGTTGTTATTATTATTATTATTACTACGGAGTATTAATTTATTTTGGGATATAAACGTGAATGTCATATTTTGTTTCTTTTCATATGTTATACTCATATTTTAATCTTTCTACCTTAGAGTATTCATTGATTTCAATCAAACAATTTAACTTTTTCTTAAACTTTGTTAAATCGACAATTTATTTTCGGGATGGAAGGAGTATATTTTACGGAAGAATAATTTATGGCATTTCTTGTCCAAAACACAAGTGCTATTAGACATTTAATTATTTTAGGAAACATCTCTAACCCGTTGCACCAATCGGCGGAATTAGACATGACTAACTTGTTGTGATTATGTGTTGGGTTTGCTAACCAAGTCATTACACATTGAAAAAGTAAGGAACTTTGATGTCACCAAACTCCATTAGTATGAGCCATTTTAAGAGATCACCGAAAACATATGAATACTTGTTTGGTCCAAAAACGATAATATCATACTAATTTGGAGTTAATGGAGTTGATGTTATCTGTGATATTTGGTACTAAAATGATGATGGTCCTGTACAGCCGAGCAAATGAAGCTGCCGTTTATTCCCCCTTTACTGCAACCTGCTGCTGTGGGGGAAAAAGATTTGACGGTTGGCATTAATTTTGCATCAGGAGGCGCCGGCGCTTTAGTTAATACTTATCAAGGAAGGGTATGCATGCATATTGATCAATCTTCTTATAACAACAACAACCCAGTTGAATCCCACAACAGTAGGGTCTGGGGAGGGTGTGTGTACGCAGACCTTGCCCCTACTCGAAAGCAGGGATGCTGTTTCCAAGAGACCCCCGACTCCACATGCACAAAAATATGAAGATCAATTCTTATAGTGATATATATTTGGAAAGGATGAGAGTGGCACCAGTGGAGTATAAGTTGTGAGAAGTTAGGTTTGTGTTAGTGGGAGTGAGAAGGGGTAAAGATAAACTTAGAAAGATTTGGAAGGTGGAATTAGTGAGGACTTACATTTCTAGGATTTCACCAAAATATGATTTAGATATGAATTTTCCAGTATCTCCGGTTCAGTCAAAGATATAATATTTTTTGGCCTTGGAGTATGATGGAGTAACGTAAATGGATGTTTAAAGTGTTTGCACTTCTTTAATAGTGAAGTACACAGTAAAATTTAGTCAGTGAGATTTTTGATGCTCATCTAGAAACAGTCGCTCTATGTATTAAACATAAGGGTCAGGCGCTCTATGTATTAAACATAAGGGTCAGGCTGCGTACATCCGACCCCCTACCTTGCAATAGACGGGAGCCTTTAAGGCACTGGGGTTATGTTGTTGTTGTTATGGGTAGATAAGAATGTCTGAAAATTTAAGGAGGGTATATTCAATCTAGACTTTATAGAATTTTTTTTGTATTTTAAAAGTCTGTAGGTATTCATTTAGGATCTTAAAGAATCTTTCAAAATCTGAAAATATTCAATTTGGATTTTAAAAAATCATTTAAAATCTCAAAGTATTCAATTAAGATTTTAAAATGTTCATTAAAATTTAGTAGTATTAAAAAATCAATGGATTTCCAAAAAGTTTTATCAAACAAGGATTCTAAAGGATTTTAGAGTTCTTTTTGTACATAAAATGCTATATACAAATCCCACCACAAATATAGAGATTTTGAAGGATACTTCGTATCTTGATATGCTCTTCCTCCTTATCTTTATCTGTTCATCTTCTATATCTTGATCTGCTCGTCTTCTGTATCAATTTGCTCAGCGGCTTAAATCTGTGCACAATCACCCTGCTCCTGCTATGCTCTCGTGTTCTCCTGCGACCGCGACGGTAATTGAACCAGTGGTGGCACGAGGCTGGCTACTTGCATACGGTAGCGACCCTCCATCGCTGCTTTATTCCAATCGAAACATTGTTGTTCTTTTTGGATCTTTGGTTGTATCGGCTTCTTTCTAATAATCCAATTTCTCCCTAAATTCGTCCGATAAGATTTCTTTTTCTCTTGCTGAAATCTTCCGATAGAATTTTTTGTTCAAAGATGTTGGAGATCTTTTTCCTTCATTGTTGGAATTGCTTGGTGGTTAGGTCTGATTTTTTGTCCGATCAACTTGCCGGGAGTGAGAGCATCATTGCTTCTGATGGATGTCTTACGATTTAGAAATGAGTTAGAAGAAAGGATTTTTGGACCTTTAAAAATCTAAACAAATTCTAACAAGTCTTGATTAGAATATATTCAAATCTATGTAGAATTTAAACAATCCATGAATCTTACATAATCTATGGATTATAAAAAATATAAGATAATCATTTAAAATCTGAATTGAATACACCCCCCTAAGATAAAAGTAGTTTTTTTTTGGTAAAAGATTAAAGTAGTTGGTTAGACGTTTGACCCTTAGTTTTTTAATTCATGCTTGTGTGTTTTTTACTTTAGTATGTACGTAACTTATGCATGTGTGGTTTATGTGTCTTGGGTCTAGTCGCTAGTGTCGCTATATGTGCTTCTTGCTTTTGTGTTCTTACTTAATTTATGTGACTCTGTTTACTATATTTGTGTTTCAGTGTTTGAGCCATGGGCCTTTTAGAAATGTTATCCCTACTTTAGGGTAGGAGTAAGATCTGCATATATACTGTGGCATTTTTTGGGTGTGTTCTTGTTTTTTATATATCACCTAGCTAAAAGTGAATAGTATCTTTTATTTTGCTGAAATGAAAGTATACAATATGAGTGAGTGCAGGTTCTAGAGCTTCTAACTCAACTCAAGTACTTCAAAGATGTGAAAAAACATTTGAGAAAGAAACATGGCAGTTCAAAAACAACAAAATTGTTGTCGAGATCCGTTTACATGTTCAGCATTGGAGGCAATGACTACTTGGTTCCATTTGTTGCCAATGGGAAATCCCAAATGCTAGAATTCTACACTAAAAAGGATTATGTTTCTATGGTCATCGGCAACCTCACCACCGTACTTAAAGTAATGATTTCTTATTACTCTACAAATTTCATTGTCATGTTGGCCCATAATTACAATTGACAATTGCTCCAGCTGTCCCCAAATAAACTTCAGTATTTAAAGAGTCAAACTACCCATATATTGTAGTCCAAAAGTCCATAAATGCTCTCACATTCTAAAATTTTAACAAGGTTTTAGGTAACTATATATTATTTTTGTTTCGTTTTGCCACTGCAGGGAATATATTATGAGGGTGGAAGGAAGTTTGTGACGATAACGGTCCCGCCATTAGGCCGTTTGCCCTACACTAGAGGGTACAATAACGGGAATAGGACATCCGAACTAACAGAGCTTGCGAGGCTTCGCAACAAGGCACTCCCAAAAGCCCTCAAAAAACTTCAAAATGAGCTGAAAGATTTCAAGTATATAACTTTTGATTTCTACTCTCTACTTGCTAACATAATCAGCCATCCCACAAGATATGGTAATCTTTTGATTTCTACTCTGTACTTCGAGGTAGATCCTACATTCTTACCTTTTGAACCTGTTGAAATAATAGACTTGGGCCCAATTCAACCCCAAAAGTTAACTCAAGAGGTTGAGGTACCCAAGCTATTAAATAGCAGCACAATATTAGGCTGCATTGCCGATGTGGGATGAACAAGTCAACACGCCCCCCTCACACGAGGCGCAGATTACTGCGGGCGCGGTCCCAACATCAATGGCTTAGCTCTGATACCATGTTGAAATAATAGACTTGGGCTCAATTCAACCCCAAAACTTAACTCAAGAGGTTGAGGTACCCAAGCTATTAAATAGCAGCACAATATTAGGCTGCATTGCCGATGTGGGATGAACAAGTCAACAGAACCCCCTACAAAGTCCAGGGCCGGCCCCGAAAAATGAAAGAATAAAATTGGCCCGGTCCAAAATTTAGATTTTGTGCCCTATTTTATATTTTTAGAATACTTTTGCTTTAAAATTATTAACAAATTTAAAAATATAGTGCCCTAAATTTTAAGGAGTCATGTGCGGTTGGCCACTTTGCACCCTCTGGGCCACCCATGCTACAAGCCCTGCTCGCGCCAATTTGCTAGTGACGCATTTTAGCAAACAAGGCAAGGGGCTAGGGGATATGACCGTCGCCGGGCCTTAGAGCCATAATATGACACTCTAATCCATCGTCCCTTTTTTTATTGAGATAAAACGAAAATGTACATTTTAAGGGACGTTTTTTGTGTATCGGGATGTTTTTTTTGTTAGGGTTGATGGACGCGACGGAAGGGTGCTGTGGGTCCGGGCTGTACAGAGGAGTGTTGAACTGCGGAGGGGATGGGTACCAGTTATGCAAAGATGTTAGGGGTCATGGGTTCTTTGATGCGGCTCATGCCAATGAAAATGTGTATAAACAATGTGCAGAGTTGATGTGGAGTGGGGATTCAGATGTCATTTGGCCTTACAATCTCAAAACACTGGTGCAAGCTTAGTTCTTGTGACCTGCGAAATCATCTTTTTGCAACCCAAATATTCGTTTATTTGATCTTCCCACTTAGATGATTTGAATCAAATAAAATGGTGGAAAAATCGTTTGAAAACTTAAGCTTATACGCGAAAAAAATGAGTACTAAAATATAGAGTAATAAAAATATTACTTGAATAACATTATTTTTATACTACATACATGATTTTTTTTTGAAAAGTACTTCATACATGATTTTGGAAAAAAATGAACTTATTTTTCGGATAGGTCACGTTGGGTTTGGATTCGGTCGAGTTTAACTCATTTTAGTGGATCATTTCGGGTTTGACTAACAAAATTTTTGTTCAAAATCTAGTATTCTAAAATCAAGTGTCGGATAAAACAAACATGGTCAATTTTTGTAGGTGTTAGTGATTTTTAGTGTAATCGATTATTGAATAATTGAACTTAATTAGATTTGACAACAATTTAAATCGTCGTTGTTAACAATTTTGAAAGTCCAAAATCTATATTGGCTCAACGATATTACAAATTCTATAGCTGGAATTCGGGGACGGCAATCCCAGTAGCGTGGTCCATGGGGCGGATGCCTTTGACAGGGTCTAAGGGGCAGAACCCTTAGTTAGGGAAATATTATAGTTTTATGTTTATTTTATTTTCGTAAATAGAGTCAAAATAATGAAACATTCAAATGGAAGAAATCATACATTCGATATTTAACGGTAGCCACCTACCATACACCTTTTACAAAAGGATGCATACATTCGATGTTTAACTTAAAGCATTTGAATGTTTCGCGATTAGATATGACGATTCACGAAGCAGCTCACGGAATTTCAAACTGGTGCAAACATTTGATTGTTATTACTCCTTCCGTTTACCAAAACCCTTTCTTTTTCATTTGTTTCTCTTTTACCAAAACGTCAAAACACTTTCACTTTCTATTAAAAACTTACTTTTATTCGTACTAACTCTTATCCAACCTATAAAATCATATTTTTTCATTAATAAGATACGCATCACATCTTACTTTTACATATCACATTAAGGGCAACAATTGGAAAGCCAACTCCAAATAACCTTTTCTTATTTTTGTCCAAAGTCAATATAGGAATTGTTTTCAACCGAAGGGAGTATAACTTAAGGAAAAGACTAAACTAAAAGTAAAATATGGAAAATATACCAAAATAGGAATTCTATTTTTTATTCTAAAAATAGGAATTAAAATGCATATACACTGTCAATCATGTTAATATATAATACCAAAAAATATTGTGAAATCTCCATATACTGTGTCATTTATCACAATGCAAACTTCTATTTTAGGATAAAAATATGGAGTTCATATTTTGAGATTTTCTTTATGTTTTTACTCCTATTTTGGGTAATTTTTTATAAATTAAACATTTGAAAGCTGCTCAACAAGTCACGTTGTTTTGCACACAGACACAAACTTTTGATTCTCGTTCGAATAAATATTTATGTCTATTCTGATTGAAATATTTTAAAATATGATACTCCCTTGAGTTCCTCCGTCCCTTTAAAAAGTTTCCGTTTTGACATTTTGAGAATTTAAGAGGAGTGTATTTTGGGGTTAACTTTTCAAAAATGCCTTTTGATGTGATGTATAAAGTAGGATGGGATGGATAGATTAATAGAGAAAAGGTGTGATGTGATAGGTAGGTTAAGAATTAGTAGGGGTAAAAGTGACTTTTTAAAAATAAAATGAGAAATGTTTTTTGGAACGGATGAAAAAAGAAAGGGAAACTTTTTTGCAAACGAAGAGAGTAGAATTTAGGGGATGGGGTAATAATAACTGAATTTGGTAATAAGACATTTTGATTGAATCATATTAAAAAAATTGAATTCAATCGATTACTTAATTTAATCAAGAGCTTATATTTCTGTTAATTTTCACTTTATCTTTTGATATGGGATATTTCTTAATAAAATACTAGTACTTTGAAATAATTTTAATTTGAAAGCGTGTTTTATCCAACTTGTTAAATTTTAAATATATCAAAAATTAGATAAATGCTTGTTTCACAAATGATCATAAATCTCACAAACTTACTATTTGTGAATTTCAATAAAAAAAGTAGTTTAGAATAATTTTAAAATAAGAATTTAAAATCATAAATGATAAGATTGTAAACTTGGGTGATCATTTTGTTTGGAACCTAGCATTGCTCTAAATTTTCACATGCAACCGATCACAATTACTATTTTCTCTGTCATAAAACGTTCCTTCAGTAACTATTCACATGGTCAAATTTTAATTACTTTCTTTACCTATTTACGTTAGTTATTCGATAAAATAATATAATCTTGTCACCTCTTGTTTTATAAACTTTTGATGTAGTTTTTAAATATATAAAATTACTTTTAAATTTCACATCTACAATAAAATATATTGAATTGAAAATAAAATCGATCAAATCTCGTAAATAAAAACGAGAAAAATGTTTTAAGACAGAGAGAGTACTGCTAGGGGTGCACCCATGCTTCGCACAAATGAATATCATCTGTGTCATATGTGCGAAGCATGAATTCACTAGCAACCATTAGGGAACACCTATTTTTTATGGAGTGTTGCCTCATCTCTCCACAACTACCATGCTACACTTACCCTAAAAAGTGTATCCCAAAATTATATCACAGGTATATACTAACATTTTGATGGTTCGCACTGACAAAAAATGTTGGTGCGTTAATAAAAATTTACACTAATATTTTTTGTACATGACACTATCTTCCTAGCATTAGACTGACACAAAATGAATGTGCACACCTGAGATATACAAATTGAAATACAAATCTTGAGGTACAAATAAGTTAATCCCTCTCCCGTCTCCACAATTTCAACGCTAGTCCCTCCGTCCTTAAATATTTGTCACACTTCTATTATCGAGGTAAAATATCAAATTTTTTCAATTAATTTTATTTACATATTGGTGTAGAAATAAAAAATAAAATTAACATATCAAAAAACTACGTAAAAAGTTCTTCGAAATAAAAAGAATATTTTATTTTATCAAATAATCAATAAAAACGTAGAAATAAACATTTATTAAATTCTCGCGACTTCTGAAATAGCAAATGTGAAAAATATTTAGGGACGAATTGGGGAGTTTCACGTGAGGCATGATTGGGAAATAGTAGTGGTGGACCGGATTGAATTCAATACGCCACATTGGGCTATGGAGTCGGCGAAGAAGAAAGAATAATTCAGAGATTGCACATGCCAATCTACACCATTTCGTATGATGAATTCTGTCTTGACGGGCCCTCTCTGATTCATGGGCTTCCACTTTTTAGACAACCTTTTACTCCTATGACAAGCAACACTCACATTTCAATTTTTCATTTATAAAAAAGCTACAGAGTACTTCTCAAATAGTCAAATTCCACAAAATAGGTAGTGCAAAACCGTTTTATTTTTTGAAACGATCAATAAAAATAGATAAAAAAAAGTGAGTATAACTTGTCCTAACTCCTAAGTATTATATACTCCCTCCGTCCTCAATTTGATTACAAATTGCGGGTTACGGAGTAAAATTTCCAACTTTTTGAAATTATTTTATTTATAAATTGGTATATCAATAAGATATAAAAATTACTACCTCCGTCCCACTGTCTTTGTCCACATTTGACTTTTGGAACTGTTCATCTAAGCACTTTGACTCATCAAATTTTCTCAATGTGTAAGCCTAAATATAGTCATGTGTGATCTTGTTTGATTTGTCTTAACATATAGATTATTAATATATAATTTCTATAATTTTTTAATATACAAATTACAAGATAAAATGGATTAAAGAAGTGCATTGGATGGTGTGCCGAAAGGTAAGTGTACAAAGACAGTGGGACGGAGGGAGTATATATTAAAAAACTACGTCAAAAGTTCTACAAAACAAGAGGTGACAAGAATATTGTATTTTATCAAATACTTAATGAAATTGCGTAATTAAACAAAAGTTATCGAGAGGAGAGAGACTCCTATTTTGTAAACTCCTATTCATTTTCAACACAAAATACTATATTGGATATTGTAAAATTTTACGTGGTAAATGAGAAGAATCAAAGAGGATGAAAGGAGTCATAAAAAGGCAATTTCAATTAAAAGCACTTAAAATAATTCAGAGACTTGAAAAGTTCTTTCAAAAAAATATAACGACCTTGTATGCACTTTATCTATTTTTTTGCATTGAAAAAAAAAGAAAGGAGAACAATTTTTTTTTGGGGTGAGTATTTTTTGAGAGAAAACCACCCATTTGATAGTGGGAATGTGGGACTATTATATGTCCCCATGCAACTGTATAATTTCCAAACAATTGCACCTTATTAGGCATAGACTACTGGTACCAATACAAATACTACCAGTCAAGAACCAGCTAGCTAGCTAGAGCTGTATATGTTCATAAATATATATACACACAAAAGGTTCATTCATTAATTCATTATAAATTGTTTCTAGCATACGGAGTACTCATACTCCGGAGTAATATATATACTGCATTTTTATATATATACTCGTAGTATTTTTTTTTTTCGACCATTACTGTGGTTAATTATTGTTGCAGATGGCTGCTGAAAATGAGTTCAAGCATTTGGTTCTTGTCAAGTTCAAGGAAGATGTTGTGGTGGAAGACATTCTCAAAGGAATGGAAACGCTTGTTTCTGAAATGGACACTGTCAAGTCCTTTGTCTGGTAATTAATGAATGCATATGTATCTTTTTTTAATTAATCACACTCCATGAATCATGATCATCACTCATGAAACTGGCTAGCTTGTGGCATAGATAAGTAACTTGTGCTTCTTGCTTCTTTATTTCAAAAATTCAAATCCATCCACACAAATAAATATTTACCCTAAATAGCAATGAAACTTTAAGTTAAATCCCTAAGTAGCACTTAAACTGTTTTATTTTCTAAATAACATTTAATAATGTCCAGTTATGGTGAATATTTACATGAATAATGACTAATGGATAATGACTAAAAGTGCTACATTGAGAAAAAACACATGCAATGCTGTTTAGGGAAAGTCATTATGTTTTAGTGCTATTTACGTAAATTCCCCACCACAGAATAATATTTAAATAAACTCAATTCATTTTTTATTTTATAGAGCTTTTGATATATATTTCTCCATCTCCGAGTATTTGTTCACTTTTAATTTTTTGGTCAAAATTGATAAACTTTAAGTTTTAGTGCTATTTAGTGCAAATATTTCAACTACTTTAAACATAAATTAAATAGATAAATGTAATATTAGATATTGATACAAACATATTTTTTAGGGGGAGCGAGTACATAATCCATCTTCATGCACTAGAAAAATGTCTCACATTTTTTGGAAAATACTATAGTCACAAATAAAAAAATCACAAATTAAAATTCGTAAGTTGTTATATATTAGAACATAAAAACCTTTTCTGGGTTACAATCACAAGTTTGAGCTCTTAGTTAAATTCGTTTCTTGACATGCTATCAGAGCCTTGTTGACTAAAAGGTCACGTGTTTTGAACTCAGTGCCATCTAATTTTAAAAAATTAAGGTTTCACATGTAAGGCTCGAAAAGATTACGCCTGCTGTTAAAGAGCATCCCACATCGGAAAAGTGTGGGGAAATTAATCGGTATATAAGCTCTTGAATTGAATTAACTAATCAGTATAAAACTCATCTCTACACTTTCAGAAAACTATTCTAATTTTCAGACTTTGTCACAATCTTTTACTACCTCCGTCCCAGAATATTTGTCTATTTTCATTTTTACACACCATCCAATACACTTCTTTAACTCATTTTATCTTGTAATTTGTATATTAAAAAGTTATAGAAATTATATATTAATAATCTATATGTTAAGACAAATCAAACAAGATCACACATGACTATATTTAGGCTTACAAATTGAGAGAATTTGATGAGTCAAAGCGCTTAGATGAACAGTTCCAAAAGTCAAAACTGGACAAATACTCCGGGACGGATAGAATATTTTATTAGCTTGTTGGGGAATTAAACACACAACAAATGGGGTACTCCATTTGTACACAAGGCAAACACAGACACTAAGTATCTGTATTTGCATAGAGTACAAATGGTGTACTCCGTTTTAGTGTACCATAAGATTTATTCATTTTGAAATGATTGATCAACCTATTTTTGGTGTGAAACTGTGAATAAATAGTTTCTTGATGCGTTAATGACAAAGACCACTCATTTGCAAGATGGGTTGTTGGTGGTGGTCCTTTTAGGAGTTCGAGGACTTGTTATTAGTCCCTTTTTGGGCAAATAATTCAATTCCCACGTCGCATGTTGGTTACTTTAGTGGTGGTAGGGTGGTCCATTCACAACTTTTGCAATACATAAAAATTTGTTAGTCTCCCGCCATTCTTCAATCAAAATCTAATCACTTTTGGCTTAATCTGAGGAAATTTTTGAGAATGGGGCTCATCCTTTAATAAAGGTGTTATATTCACTTTCATTTTGACTAAATATAAAATTTTATGATGAATTGATAATTTCACCTTTAAAAGTTGGTTTATTCATACTCCATCTTTTGTATTTTTAAAGGTAAAATTGTCAATTTATCATAAATGAGATGGATTTAGACAAAATGAGAGTAAATTTAGCAACATAATAATAATAATAATAATAAATATAATAAATATAATAATAATAATAATAACAACAACAATGTGTTAATTAGTCATCTTTTATCACTGGGTTAATTCTTACTTGTGTTATGAAAACTTCCTTAGACTTTCTTGTATCTCAAAATTCACCTTAAGTAAATCTAGTAGCTATTCAAATATTTTTTGCCTTTAATTTGTCCCAAAAAAGGTTACGTTTCATTTTTTTGTGCATCCCAAAAAATACTTCTAAGTTCTACCCATATCTAAAATGCTTAAAAATTACCACATTTACCCATTATTGTAGCTAGAAGTCGTTTTGAATTTTTTTTGACATTTGGGACGATATAGAAGTATTTTATGTGATACATCAAAAATGAAATGTAATCTTTTTTTAGGACGGAGGGATTTAAACTAGTAATTGTTGTTTGATAGGGGAAAAGACACAGAGAGCCATGAAATGCTAAGGCAGGGGTTTACGCATGCTTTCTTGATGACGTTCAACACCAAAGAGGATCACATTGCCTTCTCCACCCATCCCAAACACCTCGAATTTTCCGCCTCCTTCTCCGCTGCCATTGAAAAGGCCGTGCTTCTTGACTTCCCGGCGGTTCTCGTTAAGCCTCCGCCGCCTGCTGCCGCTGTTACTCCTCCTCCCGCGGCGGCGGATAATTAATCAATCCTCCCTGGCCGGCGGTTGCACTTTACGACCCATCTCTATCTATCCGAGTCTATGTATCATCATCATGAACTCCCTAGCTTTCATTTAATTTAATTTTATGCATCATTATATTATTACTCCGTATTATATACGGAGTATATAGTTCTAATTAGAGCTTTTATTTATATATGGATATCATCATGCAATTAAGTAACCTAGCTACGTTCTCATCAAATATGCTACCGGTTAAGTATAAAAGCATTGTAAGCTAGTATGGCCGTGAATAAAGTAACTCTGATCTGTTACTATGGGGTAATAGCATGGGTAATATCTATTTTAGATATGAAATGACATTTCTGCCCTTGATTTTTTTCTATCTTTAAATTTCACTCTTTTCTTTACATTTTTTATACAAATAAATAAAATAAAATATACACCCTCTTTCTCAAATTAAATTTTTCATTTATTTAATTTTCAAAAAAAATAACTTTTTTAGAAAATGTTACAAAAATGAAATAAATACACTTTTTCATTATAAGTAAAAGTAAAATAAATAAAATAAAAGAATAGATAACATGTACTCACTCTATCTCTAATTAAAAATTCTAACTTATTTGTTTTTTAAAAGTAAAATAATTTTTAAGGACTTTAAAAAAATGAAGAGCGGAAAGATGAAATGGAGTTAAAGAAAAGGACTATTTTTTATATTTTTATTTCTTTTCATTACCTTTTTTAACTATTATTATTTTTACTTTATACATAATATTTTATTTGTCATTTTCTTTTGTAATATTCTCCAAAAAAAATCTTTTGTTTTCAAAAGTAAATTATGAAAAATTCTAATTTGAGATGGGAAGCGTATATTTTATTTTTATATTTGTATAATAAAAGAAATTCAAATTGGAAAATTTCAAGAGCGGGAAAAACAAAGGGCATAAATGTCATTTTTGCTTTAAAAATAGGCAAGGGGGGCATGTGTGCTCTATTTAAAGACTACAGGGATTTTACAAATAACTTTTGAAAACAGAGGGGGTTTTGACGCCCTTTTTGTAAACCACGGGGGGCACCCATGCTATTAACCCATGTTACTATATATGACCTTTGGTTATGGTTGTCTCATAAAATTATAGACATTTTTTTAATATTCTTTTAGTGTTATATATACTGCTTTCGTTCCTGAAAAGGTTTCTCTTTTTTTTAATTCGGACCAAAAAACTTTTTCTCATTTTATTAAAAAGTCATTCTTACTCATATTAATTTTTAACATACATATCACATCACATTTATTTACTATTTATCTATTCATCAAATTCTACTTTTATCCAACACGACATTTTTGGAAACTCAATACCAAAATACATTCGCCTTAAATTTCTTAAAGAGGGATCAGAGTATATTAACTCGAATGCAATATATCAGTAATATTTGTTCATACTATTTTCAACTTAATAACGCCCAATGAGTCAATACCTATGTACATAATACATAAAATACAATAGAATGTCAATATATAGTTCTACATTCTTGCAATACAATAGTCCTACTTTAGAAATAATTATGCTATGTGTACCCCAAGTTTTGTGCCCCAATTTGTACCCCGCAGTTTTGCACCGACACTTTGTGTTGGTGTAAAACTAATTTTTGTTAAATGCACCAACATTTGTGTCCGTGTAAATTTTTATTAACGCACCAACACTTCTGTCGGTGTAAACCATCGAAATGTTTGTGCAAACCTGTGGTGTACAAATGGGGTATATTTTTTGGTGTAAGTGTAGCATGGTCCAACATTTTAATATATGTAGTACAAGTATATAATTTTGAATAAATAAATGTTACTTCCTCTCTTCCATAATAAAATTCCAGTTTCGAATTATGATAGATGACCAAAGTTATTTTTTATTCAATTTATAAAAATAATTATGTAGAATTTTTTATATGTTTTTTTTAAATATGTAAGATTTCTTTTTTTTATTTTTCTACCAATTTGTAAATAAAATACTTTCTCTATTTGGGGTACATGTAAGGGTCATGTTTGAGTTACACCAGAATGAGATACCTTATTTGTACACTAAACAAAAATAGACATACATAGACACTTATGTCTGTGTTTTTTTGTTTGGTGTATAAATGAGTAGGGGTGTTCATTCGGTAAAACCGTACCGAACCGAAATTTCGGTAAAATAATTATATTTTTACCGAATACCGAACCGTAATAAATCGGTTCGGTATGGTTAATATCGAAATTATTTTGGTTTGGTATTTGGTAATACCGAAATTACCAAAATTTCATTTTATTTTCATCTATACTTAATTTTTTTTATTTTTCAATTTGTACCACTAGCAATCTCATTCAACATTTAAAGAAATTAGAAATACTTTATGTATTTTTTAGCTATAGTTAATCATAAATTACTTAGTTTTTCATATTATTAAAAGATTATCGAAGCACATGATTTTGATCCTGTAAAAAAACTGAAATATAAAAAAAGAAATCAGAAATTCAATAGACAAAAAGTATTCTATCAAAATGTTTAAAAGATATTACTTTTAGGCTTTAACCATCCGTAATTTATTGCCCTATGAAGTGAGGTCAATGTATTGATCATTTAGAATAAATGAAACAAAAAAAAATTGAAGAAGAAAGAGTCAAATAGTAAGTATGAGAAAATTTAGCTAGATATGGAGTATTTTTTTTAGAAATTAAAATTGTGAATAAAAGGAATCATAAGATAAGGTAGACCACTATATGAGTTTCTAGGACTAAGGTTAGAATTTAAACTTCAAAATATTTAATATAACAAATATTTGGTATTCGGTAAAAACCGAATTACCAAACTATTAAGTTAAACCGAACCGAAAACTGAATTTTAGCAAAAAGAAAAACCGAATACCGAACCAAATTATTCGGTTTGGTTTTGGTACGTACCAAATTTTTCTCTGTTTCGGTACGGTTCGGTCGGTTTACCGAATTGTACCCCTATAAATGAGTAATCCATTATGATGTATCTATCTCTACCATTATTATTAATTTAAGCCAACCTCATTTAACAAAAACATACTGCACGTTACTCCGCATTAATTATATTACTTTTCATGAGGTGCAATTGTACGTAACTTTGCATTTTTTATTACAAAATATAAATACATTGAGCTGCAAACACTTAATAAGTTATCAAAATATAACATTTTAGTAATATTTATGTTAACACAATAATAAAAATTGAAATATATTTTGGAATATAATTTTTTTATATAAATTATATTACTTTGTATGAAATTACTTTATTTTTTACTCCCTCCGTCCCAAAAAGATTTACACTTTTCAAAAAAATTGTGTCTCACAATCTCCTACCCATTTCTATTAAAAAACCATTTTTACCCCTTACTTTTTCAAACCCTACCTATCACATCATACTTTTTTTCTAATAATCTACTTATCACATCCTACTTTTACCCATCACATCAAGGGTATTTTTGGAAAGTCAACACAAAATTATCCCTCCCTTAATTTCTACTTTAGTCAAAATGGGTAACACTTTATGGGACGGAGGGAGTATTATTTTATTGACTTGAAAACATAATAATAACAATTACTACGTATATTGTTATTAATGGAAATACGAATAATATGAAAAAACATACTGAAAACAATTTTTGAAGTCATTACGAAGAGTTGACAAAAGTGTGACAAAGGTTGAGAAAGTTTGAAAAAACTTGAAAAATAATAGAAAAAGTTTGAAAATACTAGCCAGAATTGAAAAAAAAAAATACTCCGTAATTATAAAGAATGCTGTTCCGTATAACAAATTTCAAAAAAAAAAAAAAACTCCAAACTCCAAAGCAAAAAAAGCTACTCCCTCCGTCCGGAAATATACTTCCCATTTTCCTTTTTGGTTCGTCCGGAAATAATCTTCCCATTTCCTTTTTTAGTATGCTTTTTAAGGCTAAATATCAATAATATCCTTCTATTTTATCACAAATCTACTTATTTAATATTTTTTTAATAATAAAAGAAGATTTAAAAGTTTATAGTATGTGCATTTTTGAAAATTTTACATTTTTTTTACTATTTGTTAATAATAAGCGTGCCAAGAGAGGCCAAAACGCTTAAAGCTGACCGGGAAGCCGCAGTGAGGTTTCTGCATCGGAGATTTAATCTCGCCGGTGATTCGGAGCCGCTGCATCAGGTTTTCTATTCTCTGTTTAAGACTTGATTAGGAAGAAGAGTGAATTCCAATATTTGATTATTGTGTGATTTAATATTCTCTCTCGACCACTGCTAGGGTTCATGTGGTCTTCATGATTTCTTTCCTATTCTGATTAGATGCTCGTTTCCGATTCGTTGAATTTCTATTTCTGTTCATCAAAATTAGTTTTGTTCAAGTGATTAAATTAAAGAGTAATCCCTAAATCCCTAAAGTACTCCGATCTGCATCCTCTAGAACGCTTGCGATCGGCTGATTGGCCTTGTTAATTATTGTTTTCATACATCCCCTGTTCTGATCTACCACCGTTGCTACATGAGCTCGCCGGAAGACTCCGTGGCATCAACAAGATCAACAGAGAGTCCGGATTTGCTGCAATGGAGCACTAAGGACACGAAAGCACTGAGTACTCCGGCTGGAACTGTGGATATGGCTGATATAGTAACTAATATGTAAATGATCAGTGAAGGTGGATGTTAGAAAGGGCTGTTACGAAGTTGTTAAAGCGTTGTTAGCTCAAAATATGATGTAGCGGAAATAACGAGAAATATGCAGATTCTTCTTCTCTTCAGTCTTGTTTTATCTCATCTGGATATCTCCTTTGGAGAAGATCAGCAAGACATTCTTGTTTCAAAGAGATGACATTCTTCTATATGGCGGTTATGGCCTAATCCTTGTAGAACTCGAAATGTATATCCTTTAAAGGCATGATCGTAAGATTGGAAGAGAGGTGCACATCCCAAAGCCATTTCTTGCAACAATTTTGCTAAGGAATAAAGTGAGATGAATAGAGAATGAGTGCATCTACCTTGTATACGAGGATGCATAAAATTCGTGATTGGAGTGGGACAACACTATGGCAAACAACTCACAACTCTATGGGTAGGACCTTAGGAAGGACATATAAGGAAAGAACAAGAAAAATGAGATTCTTTCACATTTAGAGTGGAGTTAATAGATTTGTTTCGTTGGTGGATGCCTGATTTGCATCGAGGCAAGACATGGACTTATACGGGGACGGGGTCAGAAGCGTGAAATGCCAATTTTTTCAATAATTTATAAAAGATTTGAGTGTGCAGACGCCCCCAAATTCCAACCGGGGACGTTTCAAGGATAGTAAGCGGCTCGTATTTGTAGAATCCGTGCAACATAGTCATAGACTGAACGCTTGCAACACATGAAGATAGAGGGAGCAACAAAGGAACCAAGCAATCCAACAATAGCAAACAATGCACTCAAACATCTTATAAAGTATCGAATATTTGTAAGATCTACTTTGGAGATTTTGTAGTAGATTATATCCTACTACCACACTTTGAGATGACTTAATTTGAGGTCCTAGTAGTAGGGTTTACATAGGCCCCTTTCGGATTTGGAGTTGGCGGTTTTTAGTTTCATGGGGAGGTGTTGGGACCACACGTAATTTTATTTGACCTCGCATTCGTATGATATTTTCCATTTTGGGCCAAGTCTTAACAATTTTTTCTGTGTGCACCTCTTAAAAGGCATCATACTAATGTGTTGGGTTGAACCGTGTTTGTTATGGTTCGATTCTTTTCTTTTTTAATTGGGCTGAACCCTATTTGTTTTGATTCAATTCTTTTCTTATTTTCTAGTGTGAGATGGTTTGTATTCCCAACAAACAATCCCTCAAACCAAGATCCCTTAATTTGTGACCTCCCTTCATGTTTATCATTTGATTCACTCACCATCGTGCTCTGTCGCACCATCCCCGCGGGATACACCGCCAAACCACGTGATCTGACATCATTGTTGGGAAGACTTTTGACACAAGGTATCAACGGTAAATCTCCAATGCTTAGGTCATCACGCAGGGCGTGCGCTTTTCTCGCCCAAGATCTAGGCGTGAGGCAAACACCTCTTCCGCCTAAGGATTTTGTCTTCACTCCTCCGCGGTTATCGTCTCCAATTCACTGTTATCGACTTCATCTAAACCGTCCTTGACTATTTTGATTATCGACTCCATCTACACTTCATATATGTATTTATGTATAAAGCATGGATGGATGGACGAAGTATTATTGCAAGTTGTATGATATTCATTGTACTCCCTAAATAAAATTCTCATATGCTTTTTTACATAGTATAAGAAAAATTAAAATTGTTTGGTTGTGATTGATGCAGAAGAGGGAGAATCATTGTGGACCACCCATTTTATCATTCTTTAAAAGGAATGAAAATTTTATTTTGGGAGTACAAATTATAAAAGAGCGTTGTATATTGTGGAATTTCCCGTTCAATATCGATGGTGTGACTATGATAATATATAAAATATAATATAGACAATATGAATTGAGTTTGAGTGAAGAAAGTGTGAAATTTATGGAATAGTTATAGAGAAGAATGAAAAAAACTACTCCACCCCTGCCCCAATGGCTAGAATGTTGTTGATGCACAATGGCTAGTACAACAGGTCTGCCAACGGGGAAAAAACTTATTAAACGCCTTTTTCGTAACACTGATTCTGAAAAGCTGCATCTTAATTGATTAACCAGTGCCTTTTCGTAACACTTGTTCCGAAAAGCTACAGCTTAACCAATTAAGCGGTGTCTACGGAAGAAGGCCATGCTATAATTGAAACCNCCCCCCCCCCCCCCCCCGTGCCCTACCTGTACGGTTCTGATGCCATCCTAGAGCTGTTTCCACCCTTACCTGTAACAATGGCATTAGGTTCAACTCATGCATGATATGAGTATTAACAAAGACAATAAAAGAACATGTTTACGACTACGAAGTTGTAAATGGTGTTTTTAATTATATGGAGTATAAAAATACTACTCCCTCCGTCCCTAAATAAACTTCCCCTTTTGACTTTTTGAGGATTTAAGGAAGGGATATTTTTGTGTTGACTTTCCAAAAATATCCTTGATGTAATGTGTAAAAGTAAGATGTGATATGTAGATTATTAGTAAAAAGGTATGATGTGATAGGTAGGGTATGAAAAAGTAAGGGGTAAAAGGGGTTTTTTATGGGAAAAGAGAAGTTTATTTGGGGACAAAGAGAAAAACGAAAGGGGAAGTTTATTTAGGGACGGAGGGAGTACATGTTTAGAAACGCACTGAAAAAGGAAATAGAATATTAAAAGAGGATGTGGTAATTATTTATTATTTCGCAATTACAATGAGCTTCTTAGACTACTCCCTACAGAATAGTACAATTACTCCGCACTTCACAAGGATTAAAACGCGTCATTGATCAAGAATGGCATATTTTCCCAAGATCCGGTGGGTAGTGCGCAATGTGTGCTGATTATAGTGAATTCGTTAATTTTTTACTTAAACTTTTTGTACATTATTGCTTGATTGTAGTTCGTTCTCCCTGGTATTGTTTATGAACATGCCAAATTAGAGGCAACTCTATTTTATACTTCTTCTAACAGGAAGCCAGAGGAAAAAGGGATCCTAGAGCAATAAGCCAAAAAAAAATGGCTGATTGGGGCTCGGTTATCGTTGCCACAGTGCTGTTTATTCTGTTGACGCCAGGGTTGTTGGTTCAGATGCCGGGCCGTGGCCGGATTGTTGAGTTTGCCAATTTTCAAACCAGTTGGGTTTCCATCGTCGTCCACACCGTTATTTACTTTGCTCTCCTGTGCATTTTATTGATAGCCATTGGTATCCATGTGTATGTTGGCTGATCATCATCATCATCACTTGGCCTTCTTTTCAACTCAGTATCTTGTAATCTTACCTGTTATTCTGACTACCTTCATCTTCTATGTAACAGAACAAATGTGAATTGTCCATCTTTGTAAACAAGGTATGTGTGTGTGTGGGATCAATCTTTGTAATAAGAGTGTACTCGGGTTGACATGTAATTTCGTTCATCATTGCCTACAAATTAGTAAATCTCAATAATGTAATTCTAAAACTTTTAAAATATGCATATTTTAGGAAAACCATACCCATTAATCATAGCATCTCATGTATAGGTTCATAATCTCACTTTCCTTCTATCTCTGCCTCTGGCCTGATTAGAGGAGTCTCCAATTGTGAGTAATGAGTAATTGGAAAGGAAAGAAAAGATAAAGGTACCAAGGCTTTTTTCTCTTCACAATTGGGTAGAAACCAATAGGAAGAGAGAAACCAATCAGGGAGCTTCATTTATTTTCGTTCTTCTTTTTTTCCTTTTCCCTTATTATCTTACGTAGTACCTTTTTTAAAAAAAAATTCTTTATTATCTATCCATCCAAGCACCAGTTACTCCGGGTATATCTTTCTCTGCCCCTAAATGATTTACGCACTTTATTATTCAAAAATTGCGAGAACTTTTGTTTATTCATATGTTTTCATTGACTATTTGATGAAATAAAATATTTTTGTCAGCTCTTGTTTTGTAAAATATTTGATGTACTTTATAAATATGCTAATTTTATTTTATATTTATATATCAATCTTTAAATAAAATGAATTCAAAAAATTCAGGATTTAACTTCGTTTTGCGTAAAGAGTAAATGATGGGAGTGAGAAAATTAAGCATGGGCCTCATGTAAAAAAAAATCTTTCTAGAACAGGTGAGATAATTTGAGCTCTTTTTCCCACCACTATTTTTTCTCTCATTCCATCTTTTCAATCTATTTTCACACCATTTTCTTTTCATTTTTCCATCAATCCAAACATTAACACTATGTTTGGTTCAAGGAATTTGGAAGGAAAAGAAAAGAAAATGGTTTTCTCCCATTTTCCTCACCAAAATGGAAGGAATTTGGTTTTTCTACCACTTGGTACATTTTGCCTTCTCATTTTCTTTTCCTTCTACTTTTCCTTTCTTTTCCCCTCTAACCAAACAAGAAAAATAGTTTTCCACTTCATTTTCTTTTCTTTTCCCTTTCAAATTCCTTGAACCAAACATAGTGTAACTTTTTCTCATCATTTTCTCACTATTTTCTTTATTTTCTATCATTTTCTTTTCTCTCATTTTCTCATCTTCATCCAAACAAAGAGTAAAACTCAATTTTAAAAGATCTCCATACATATTGATTAACATTTCATTGCTTCACATCAAAGTTATCCAGCGGCTGACTATGGAATCATTATGAGTAGCTCTAACTCCCAAGCAACCAGTTAAATTCCCATGCCTTTTATTTCTACTTCCCTGCCCAATTTAAATCGTCTATTTCGATTTACGATGTTCGACTGAAATTATTTTCAAATCGATTCATCATATGAGAAAATGATATAGATTTAAAAAATAAATATTTAAAAACTACATCAAAAGATCTACAAAACATGTGGTGACATGACTATATTATTTTATCAAATGACTAACGAAAATAGAGAAAGAAAGTGAATGAAGTTTGACCGTGTAAATAGTAAATATGCAACTTAATTTGAGACGAAGGGAGTATAGTATTACAAAAACACATAAAGGTGAATTGATATTTACACAAAGTTGAGCACCAAAAGTTTTTGTTCTAAACATATTTAGATAGTTTTTTCAAACAAATATTGTTAACAATTACTATTGTGTATGCATGCTAGATTATAAGAATAAATCTACTTGTACTCCCAAAGATTGTGATACGAATATCGTATCGGATAGGGAAGAGTTTCGAGCGTCTTCGAGCTCCAAGAAAGGGGAGGCAAAGAGAGAAGGAAAACTTCGAGCGTTTCCGAGCTCCAAGAAAAGAGAGACGAGAGAATAAGAGAATTCTTGATTATTGATTGATTGAATAATAATAACGAAGGGTTACAATATATAAAGACACAGAAAACCCTAATTGACCTAATGGGCTCGGGCCCATACTAAAACCCTAAACTATCAATATTAATAAATAATAATAAGTAACTACTAAATAATAATATAACTAATTATAATATTCTAACTAATTATTCGTATCATTCCCACCCCCTTAAAAACCACCTTGTCCACAAGGTGGAGGCTCCCACTCGTGCTTCTCAACTGGAGAGCTAATGCTAAACCAAAGGAGCGGTCCATTCCTTGAATCTTCAACCATGTTCGAACTTGGAGTAAACTGAGGGGCCTGTGAGATAAAGCCAATACCCCATGTAGGTTCGCTCAATGAAACTAGGTGCAGCATCTTGACCACATCGGCAATGTCACACAACTTAATGATGTCAAATGAAATGGGGTTGTCCGCTTGCTTATTATCTGTATCTACCACATTGTCAATAATATCGGGAACATCAAACTTTGCAATGACCACACCCGCAGAGACATTTATTGGCACAAAAAATTCACTTGATGTGGGATTAAGTGCGTAGACATTAACAACATCTACAAAAGTGGCACTATCATCTTTTTCCATGACTTTAGACTCCTTCTCATCTTCCTTCATAGCTCCGAGTGCACTGTCCTCATCATCTCCTACTAGTGAATCTAGGCTTGAGTCCATCTTGGATTCTTGATCAAGAGATTCAACATTTTTCTTAATTACTGTAGAGACCAAATTTGGTGGGGAAGGGGGAGTGGCAATGAGCATTTTCATAGCGCCCAACATGTTTGTTTTAAAGTTTTGTAACTCCCAAGGAATCAAACTCGACAAAATTGGAGGACCACAAACCAAATCTTGTATCGCGCAAGAGATTTCAATGTCAAATGTATGTAAGTTAGAATCATAATTTGACTGACCTTCAATGGGACGAAATGACTGAAGATTCTTGATAATTTCATCAATGTGATTGTAAAGTGTGCACACTCTTTCATCGTGCTCAATTTCGCCATAAAGAATATTCTCCAACAAATCAAAAAGTTTGTCCAATGCACCGGTACAAATAATCAAAGCCTCTAACCGCTTGAATCGTGCCTCCATTCGAAAAGAAAAATCGGGTTGCATTTTTTTTCTTGGTGTGTGGTGCAAATTGATCCGACGGCTGCCACAAACAAATTATAGTGGATCTCTCCAATTACTCTCTCTAATTGAGTGGCGGCCCGGTTGACAAAGGAAATGGCGGCTACACCAATTTGGTTGTAAAGATCAAATTTCACCAGCTTCGATTTTTATTTCCTCTGATCTTGCGGCTCCTTGATCTTGCGGCACTTTTTCTTCTTCTTTTTTTCAATGACTTTGGATCGCAGTGATGAATTGATGCAACTCTTCTAGTTGTTCCAAGCAAAAGGTAGCGGCACAATTGCTCTTTTGCTAATCTCAAAAATCAAATGGAATCTGCGGCAGTTTTTTTTGTTGTATTTTTTTTTGGAATTCTCTCAATGAGAGCACCAATTGATAGGAATATCGTATCGGATAGGGAAGAACTACGAGCGTTCTTCAAGCTCCAAGAATATGAGATAGAGAGAGAAGGAAAACTTCGAGCGTTTTCGAGCTCCAAGAAAAGAGAGACGAGAGAATAAGAGAATTCTTGATTATTGATTGATTGAATAATAATAACGAAGGAGGTTACAATATATAAAGACACAGAAAACCCTAATTGACCTAATGGGCTCGGGCCCATACTAAAACCCTAAACTATCAATATTAATAAATAATAATAAGTAACTACTAAATAATAATATAACTAATTATAATATTCTAACTAATTATTCGTATCAGATTGTACTCCAAAGATTTATACTTATATTTTGTGTCAATATAAGTACGAGATTGGTGGCTCACATTGATACAAAATGTTAGTGTAAAACCTTGCAATCACACTAATATTTTATGTATTTTAGGGTACACGTAGCATATTTTAGATAACAATTGTCAAACTTGATGTGACTATAGCACGAATTTTTTTATAAGAAAAAAAAAATCTACTTTTACACTATTTGGTGCACCCCAAATGTTTGCACCGACATTCTGATGGCACACTACATTGACATAACATGTTAGTAGGATTGCAAAATTGCAATGACATTTTATGCCAACGTGAACCATCACTGTGTGTCTGTGTTAGACTGGTTTGTGCAAACCTTGGTGTACACCTAGCATGGTTGTTTTTTTAAATACAAATTTTTAAAAAAAGGAAAGAAATAAAGTGTGATGAGAATATGAATAGCTTCATCAGGTAAATAACCTTCACTTTTTTTTTCCAATTTTTTAATTTAAACCTTGAAGGAAATGGTACTTTATAAACAGGCCAAATTAGAGGCAACTCTATTCATACATCTTAGCTTCTATCTTAGCTTCTTCAAAGAGGAGTTAATAAGCCAGAGACTTGAAAGAAGAGATCGAAATAAATAAGAAAAAATGGCTGATTGGGGTCCGGTGATCGTCGGCACGGTGCTGTTTATTCTGCTGCAGCCGGGGTTGTTGTTTCAGATGCCGGCCGGTGGCAACCAGTGCATTGCCTTTGCCACTTTTAAATCCAGTAAAGTTTCCGCGGTTGTCCATACCATTCTTTACTTTGCTTTCATTTGCATTTTCTTGTTAGCTATTGGCATCCATGCCTATTTTGGCGGCTAATCTTCTTCCATCTTCATCTTCTTCATCATCAACAATTGCTTTCATTCTTCATTTCATGTATCTTGTTGATCTGATCTGTTGTTAATCCTTTTCAAATAATGGTGCATTTTCTTGTATTTTTTGATGTAAAAAAGGATGTGATTAATTGTGATGTATAAGTTGTGTGTGAATGTAATTCGTTGCGTACCGAAATAAATCTCAATCCTGTAATAATTCCATTTTTTTTAAAATATGGAGTGTTATTGTATATTGAGCAATGCTAGGGGTACACCAAAAGGTGTACCCCAAATGTACACCACCTCTTCTCCATCACACATTTTTATTTGATTTTTATTTACTTATTTTTTTAAATTTTTTTTGCCTTTTTTAGTGGACAAGGAGGGGGTGGGGGACATATGGGGTACACTTTTGGTGTACCCCTAGCATTTTTCTTGTATATTTGTTATACGAGGCACTTACAATCTATACTGTTAGAATATAAATAACTATTCCTAGGCCACAACCACAAGCTTGAGCTTGTGATTGAATGAGTTCCTTGATATGGTATCAAAGCCTTGTTGACAAAGAGGTCACGGGTTCGAAACTCAGCGCCACTCAGTTTTGAAAAAAATTAAGATTTCACGTGCAAGGCTCGAAAAAGACTACGCCTGCACGTGAGGGGCATGTTAGAATATAAATAACTATTCCTGGGTCACAACCACAAGCATGAGCTTTTGGTTGAGTTGGTTCCTAGACATATACGATGCTTCTTTTATATATTTATTTTAATAATCATCATAATTATGGTTGTAATGAAATAATATAGAAATAATGCAAGTAATTAAATTTTATGTAGTCACTTTTGGAAATAGTTGGATTTAAGAAAAGAATTAGGAGATGTTAGAAGGAATCAAAAGAAATTGTAAATGCGGAGTACAATAATTATTTAAAATTAGTGGAATAAGGGGACAAGACTAAAGTAGAAGTAGAATAATTAAAATATACCTATATACGAGTTTTATATTTTTTATTTCTAAAGTATGAGTTAAAATGCATTTAGAGTGCCAATCATGATCATATACATTGCCAAAAAGTATCGTGAAATATCTATATACAGTACCACATTACTACATTGCAAACTCCTATTTTGAAGATAAAAATATGAAACTCCCATTTTGATATTTTCTCAATGTTTTGTTCCTATCTATGATAATTTTTTAGAAAAATTAGTTGTGTTTGAGAATAATATTGTAAAATCATGATAATTCTCCATGTGAAAAGAAAAGAGATTGATATAAACTATACCATTAGGCTATCAGGCTATGTGTTATTATGGGCTTGATGTGGGGCTTGAGTGCTTGACCACTGCCATGTGGCTTGTCCCTCCCATCAAGTCGCCTCACTTGTAGGTATCTAATGGCGTGGGCTTGACGAGAGCTTGACTATTTTTTTGTTGTACTCGGAGGATTTTTTTCGTTTTTTTGTTTTGTGGATACTTTTTTTGTAAACATATAAATTCAAAAAAGAAGGGTTTGTCAGAGAATCGGGAGAATTTTGATTATTTGGGTCAATATAATAATTAAAAAAATATTAGGATATGGGTAATTTGGACAATTGGAATCCATGATAAAAAATTTTAAAAATTATTGAAAGTGAAGATGAGAAGAGAAGATGAACATATGAAGAGTAGAAAAGATATGAAGAGAAGAAGTATATGGATAGGGAAGTTGAGATTGATTTTTGATTAATTTATAGGAGAGTTTAAAAAAATTAAAAAAAATCGACCTAAGAGTCGAATTTCCGACTGTTGGCAACGAGAAGCGCGTCAATCAAGCGGGGCAACGCCCGTGTTGACCAACAAGCCTCACGCGTCACACCGGGCGTGTCGCCCTAGTCACCCCGTGACATGGCGTGACGGGCTCAATTACGCCCCCCATAACGCCTCACAACAAAGGACAATGCTACACTTGCACCAAAATTTGTACCACAAACTTACACCAAAGGTACACACCAATATTTTGATGGTTTACATTGACACAAAGTGGTTGTACGTTAACAAAAGTTTACACTTACACAAAGTTTTGATACGTGAACAAAAATTAGCATTACACCAACACAAAATATTAATGCACAATTGCAGTGTACAAATGATATACAAATCCTTGGGTACAAACAATTTTATCCCATAACAAATGGTGTTACTCTTGACTCTTGAGAAATCCTCCACTAGACATATATACTCACATGTGCCGGTAGGAATTAGAAAGTCACTTTCCAATTCACTTGACCCCAAATCTCTCTCCCCAATTAACTCTCTTTATTATCTATCCTTCTAACCATTTCTCTCTCTCTCTCTCTCTCTCTCTCTCCGAAGACCAACAATGGCAGATTGGGGTCCGGTGGTGATCGGAGTTGTACTCTTCGTACTTCTTCAACCGGGACTGATAATTCAGATCCCCGGAAACGGCCGCGTCTTGGAATGGGGCGGCATGAAAACGAACGGCAAGGCTATATGTGTACACGCCCTTATCTTCTTCGCTATCTATGCTGTTCTAATCTTGGCCGTCCAAGTTCATATCTATACTGGCTGATCTATCCATCCTCAATCCTGTAATTCCTGATTCCAGAATCTTCTACTCTTTTTTTTTTTTGAAATAATCTTCTACTTAATTTATTGCCTTATCACAATTACATATATTTGTCTGTTTTTCTTTTCCAAAAACAAAAATGTTATGTCTTGTTCAGTTGTTCCTCAATGAAATCGAATTGTTCTTACTATATTTGCTTCTCCTCTTTGTTTTAGCATATATGTTTGTTTGATGAATGCCTCATTTGCTTCCCTTCTAGCCAAAGGTTTGTTCTTTGTTTTGCACAAGTTTATCTAATTTTGATGTGGAATATATCACAACTACATCTTATTAGCTACGGAGTACGCCTTTGTTTGGAAAAAGTGTTTTCGATTAGCATTAGTGTTTTGGATAAAGTTTTAATGGTGTAGATTAATTCTGAAATCGCTAACACTAAAGGCTACCGTCAGATATCCTTTTCAAAACGTGTTTTGGATAAAGTTTTAATGGTGTAGATTAATTCTGAAATCGCTAACACTAAAGGCTACCGTCAGATATCCTTTTCAAAACGTTGACGCTAATCTTTAACGCTGATGCCAAATGAGACCTACATCTTATTAATTGTTAGTACATGATAATTTAGGCAAATGTAGAATTGGGGATTTGAGGTAATAATGCTTAATTAATTTTAGGTAGTAATATATATGACTTATTGTTAGGATGGCCTGCCTGTAGTCATCATTACTCCGCATCAGTATGATATTGTTTGTGTTTTGGATCAATCACACATGGATTTGTTTTTTTGGACACTTACCAAAAGACATTTGGAGTTAGATGGACAGAGTATATATTTCTTATTCTCCATCCGGTGTGGAAATGGGTGTTAAATATATTCAATATATTTATTATATTATATTATTGTAGTTACCTTTCATAAATAGTTTCCTTTGTAGTTAGTTTCCATTTATAATATATCCTACCAATAGTAGGAGTTGGAATCCTTATATATATACATGTAAAGTCCCACATAACCAATCGTGGAAAATATTCATTCTTCATGGTATCAGAGCCTCTAAAAAACCCTAGCGGTTCCTTATCTCCCCCTTTCACCGACATCCTCCCTCTCTCGCTTGTCCCTTCGCCGGCTGCTCCCCCTCGCCGGCCCTCCGGCGCCGGCCACCTTGCCGAACTCTCCCCTTCTCCTTAGCCTTCTTTTCCCTTCTACAAAGCTATGTCGGCCTCCGACAAAACTACAGAGAAGTCCACCTTTATCTCCTCCTCCACTGCCCCTCATCTTGCCTTAACCACGATCTCCAACGTCATACTTCACGTCCCAATTCAACTGAGCTTCTCCCAACCCAATTATAAAAAATGGAGTCGGCTCTTCTTACTTCTTCTGATACGCTGATTCAATCCCCATGGCTTCAAACGTCATTTCCATCGGCGGCCGACCGAGCGGACGATCCATCTGTGAAACCAAGCAAATCGCATCGCCATGAGAGCCAAGTGGAAGAAGAAGCGGATGAGGAGGCTTAAGAGGAAGCGCCGAAAGATGAGGCAGCGATCCAAGTAGAATCTTGAATTTATCGTCTCCATCGTATGCCCTGTTTAGTTTTTCTCGTGCTGTTTTTAAATTTTGATTCCGAACGTTTCAGTTGAATCTCCTTTGTAGAATTCTCCGGATTGCAATTTTCCGTCATAGATTGAACTTGCAGTTTCTTTCTGTTGTTCAATTCTCTGTTTTTTTAAAAAAAATCCCCATGGCTTCCTCTCTGGATCTACTATTCCCTCCTGTGCTGATGATGACGAGTGGTTCCAACTTAACGCCCTGGTTCAAGGATGGATTCTATCTACTATTACTGACGAAGTCTCTGATCTGGTTACCTCCTCTGCTTCTACTGCTGCCGAACTTTGGCGTGTGATTCATGATCTCTTTCATGACAACAAACACGCGCGTGCAATGCAACTTGAACATCAGTTATGCACCACAGTCAAAGGTACAATGCCAATGGCCACTTATTGTCAAACATTGAAGAATATTGCAGATTGGTTGGATGATGTTGATGTCATGGTCTCGGAACCACAACTTGTGCTTCAACTCCTCTGCGGACTATCGGAAGGTCTGCAAGCCCAAACTTCATTCATGCAATTCTAACTACCGATGCCCACATTGTTTCAAACCCGGCCTGCATTGATGCTCTTTGATCCTCAACGAAATACTGTCATTGATGGATCCAGAACAGCCCTCCTGGCGGGCCAAACCGGCGAACAACAACAAACCAGCGTCCAACCGTCGCACGACAGACAGCCCGGTGGCAGCAGCGGCGGGGGGCGTTGCTTTTACGGGCATAGCAGCGGCAGATGTGGTGGCAAGCGTGGACGAGGACAGTACCCTAATTCGCAACGACACCTGCATGACGCCTTTGTACCCTAGAACTCACCAAACCCGAACTCAAGCCCGGGCCTTCTAGGCCCTCTTCCCCTACCCCCACCCTACCCCAATAATACCCATGCCTACTACACTTGTGCCCAACCCCACCCCCCTCACCATACGGCCTTCCCCACCCCACCTACTTACCCGCAACCCGCCCTTTTCCTACCACATACTCGCAACCCCCACCCCCTACCCGCAAGCTCTCAATCCCACTCCCACAGCACTGGCCCACCCATTTGATGCCATGACCCTTCGAGAACCCACATGGTACATGGACACGGGAGCATCCCACCGCATCACCTCTGACCCAGGTACTATTTCTCATGTCTTTTCTCAAACTTTAAATTCTTCAATACATATCACTGTTGGCAATGGTTCTAAGGTGAGCACTACGGCTGTTAGAAGCCACACCCTTCCCACTAACCCTCCACTCTCCCTCAATTATATCCTTATCTCTTCTCATATTATTCATAACCTTATCTCTGTTCGCCAGTTTACGCGTGATAATAATTGTTCTATTGAATTTTATGCTCATGGTTTTTCTATGAAGGATCTTCGGACAAGGAGCGTGATACATCGATCCAATAACCTTGACCCTCTCTATCCCTTGCATCACTTGACCCAAGCCCAAGCCAATAGTGCGTCCGTTGACATCCATACATGGCACCGGCGCTTGGGCCACCCTAGTCCAGCTATCCTCCATGGCGTCTTCGGTCTCTCCAGCCTATTTAAAAGTTCTAGTCATACTTATGTCATGCTTGTTAATCGGGAAAACATGTTCATATCCCATTTTAACAATCATGTTGTGTGTCTTCTTTTCCTTTTGAACTTCTACATATAAATTTATGGCAATCCTTTGTCCCCAGCATTACTAGTTTTAAACATTATGTTTCCTTTAAAGCATAAGTCTGATGTTTCTACTCACCTTAGCTCTTTCATTAATTATGTCAAAAATCATTTTAACACTACCATTAAATCTGTTCAATGTGACAACGGTATAAAATATCACAACTCACCTCTGTAATCATTTTAACACTACCACTTATAACATCTCTCTCTCCATCTTGTACTCATTCTACAGGCCTACTCTGATACAGATTGGGCTGGATGCCCAGACACTCGCAGGTCTACATCGGGGTATTGTGTATTTCTCGGGGACAATCTAATCTCTTGGTCCTCCAAACGACAAGCCACGACGTCACGCTCTAGTGCTGAGTCCGAATATAGGGTTGTAGCAAATGTTGTTGCTGAGACTAGCTGGATTTAGAATCTCCTCCTGAAAGTGCAGCAGCCCCTGCAACGCGCCACTCTTGTCTTCTGTGACAATGTCAGTGTCGTCTACCTCTCCACCAATCTTGTCCAGCAATAACGTACCAAACATGTCGAGGTAGACATCCACTTTGTGCATGACAAAGTTATCCTTGGACATGTCAGAGTCCTCCACGTATCATCCTCTTCTCAGTATGATGATATTTTCACAAAAGGACTTCCATCTATGTTGTTCACAGATTTCCGCACGAATCTTGTGATTCGTCCCCCACCGCAGCCGACGTAGCCGGGAGCATGTTAAATGTATTCAATATATTTATTATATTATATTATTGTAGTTATCTTTTGTAACTAGTTTCCTTTGTAGTTAGTTTCCATTTATAATACCCTACCAATAGTAGGAGTTGGAATCCTTGTATATATACATGTAAAGTCCCACATAATCAATCGTGGAAAATATTCATTCTTCAATGGGGTTTGTTTTTAGTTAAATTTGTACTAAATAGTAGTAAAACATATGTTATTTTCCAACTTAAACCTTTTTATTTCATAAATAGTACTTGAATAATGTCTAGTGACAAGAACAATGTTCAGTGATGGTGGACATTTAGTTTGAACAATGTCCAGTGAGGTAGACATTTACTTGAACAAAGACCAGTGCACAATGGATACTACATTGGGAAATAAAAACATATGCTATTACATTGCGAAAGTCACCATGTTTTAGTACGATATAGATAAATTCCCCATCAATAAAACTTAGATATTTAAGAATTAAACTAGATCACATTCCGTATTAGCTTAAACTTTTATCTGCCTTCTCTAATTCTAATATTCCAATTGTTGATTTACTGCCTCTATCCTTGGGAGCTTCTACGTTTCTTCATCTGCTCTTCAAAGGGAATCAAAGGATTGAAAGCTACTTCCTTCTGTAGGCCAACTTTAAAAATATGATTTTCAATTATTTTTTTTGTTAAACTTTGAAGACTTATCTTCTCCAAACATGTGTTCTCAAGAAGAGGGTGATAATAGTTCCAAATTAATAGAACTAGCTAGTATTTACTAAATCGCCATTTTACTAATTAAGCATTCTTTTTACGTTTAAAATTCTATATTTTGTATTTTTTATTTTTTGTTGTCGTATCCTTACCGTCCCCGCATCCTGTAATTTTTAAAATTGCCGTTTTCCAGCCCCGTCCCCGTACCCATATGCAGGGGTGGACCTAGGGGGGTCTGGTTGTGTCAACCGGAACCATTGATTTTTTTTAAAAACAGTATTAAGTATTGACAATAATTTTTTATATAATTCATAATAATACTTTCTACTCTATAATTGTGTTATTTTGAATCATTTGAATGTTTGAAGAAAATTTATTACTCCGTAGCTTTTTGTTGTTTCTTATTGTGTTTACCAAAATTAGTTATCTACCTGCAATGTGTATTAACTCCAATATTTTCTACCGCTATCATTTTTTATCATTCTTATAAATAATAATAATGTCATTTAATTATATTATTTTAATTATTTAAACGTTAAAGATAAAATTTATTAGTTTGATATTTTTTGTTACTTCTTATTGTGTATGTAAAAAAAATGTAGAGACGCTGCCTCCGAACTCTCGACACATGCCCACACAATCCGCCTGAGAAGTTCTAGCTTTTTTACTTTTGACACAGCTCATTTGAGAGTCTGAGTCCACCACTGCCTGTATGTGCTCCCGCCTCCCGCACCCATCCCAGTGCAACCTATTTCACCAGAAGAAATCCAACTATAAGCAGGTTTTGGTTACATGCCCCCATCTCAATTGCACTTTACCCACTGGTGGTTTCACCCTTGACTACGACCCTACATGTAAAACCACTAAAATATACTCGTAATATGGTAGAAAGACAAGAATTGCATACTAAGGGGATGGGATAATCCTGACAATTTTGATTCTTGACAACTGCACTGAGAGACAACTATACCATATAGGATTTCTAGAAGTACAAGGTACATACTCTATTTTTTGTCATCAACCCGTGATCTATGTCTGATTTACCTTTTCTTACAGACTGTACTGCCAGTGTGGAGACCCTAGGATATGGAGCTCATCCTTTTTTTTACTAAAATAAATAGTACTAGTATGAATTCTATGTATTTGTACGTTCTCTTATCAGGTTTGTATTTCAATCAGATCATATACATATCCTATTTTGAGCCGGCATCTGTTCAATTCCATTTTTCGTCAGTTGACTATGTGAGTAGCTAAAAAAATGAGGTTTGTGAGAGATTTTGTGAGTAGTTTGCGGTATGTTTGATGGTAAAGTATTTTTTTTCGTTTCTATTTACGAAGTTTGATCGACTTTATTTTTAATTCAATTTATTGATTGTAAGTGTAAAAGAAATAAGTATTGTTTCACTCTTTCTTTATATAGGCCCTGTTCTTTTGAGTTAAAAAAATTAACTTCCAACTCTTTCCAGTTTCTTCCAGCAACGACTTAAAAAAGGTGTTTATATATGATTAATATAAATTATATTATATATCCAAATTTATAACATATCACCTCAAATACGGACAATGATGAATTCTTTTTTATCCAAAATTAGAGTTTCCTTACATATTTATTTAGATGATCATTTAATTGTTGTAATAATCCGATGTGGGAACAGAGAATCCCAACATCTCCCTCAAGTGATAACTAACCTAGTCTACTTACTACTTGGATAAATGAGTCTAGCATTTCAATCTCTTATAATTGGCCGAGTTTGGCTCTGATACCATGTTAGAATTTTAATGGGCCAAGTGAATCAGGTGAAGTGTCGGGCAAGATTTGTTGTGCTTTCACTTTTTTTATATGGGAGTGATACTTGTGGTAAGGGAGAAAAACCAAGGCCTTGTTCGGAAACATCGTTTTCGATTAGCGTTTTGGATAAAATTTTAATGGTGTAGATTAATTCTGAAAACGCTGACGCTAAAGGCTACCGTCGGATAGCCTTTTCAAAACGCTAACGCTAATGCCAAAAGGGGCCCAAATTAGCACTCTTAGAGCCTTAAAATCCTCTAGAGCAGTGCTATATGTTTCGTACTTGTGATCCCGATTTTGTCCTTTAATTAAATAGCAAATATTCATTACACACTGCCAAAAAATATGATTGTTTTGAGCAGTGTGGTTGTTCACTTGTAACTGTGTAGTGGGAGTGTGGTTTTTATATGCGAATATTTAATGTGATAGTGTAGAATGGATATCTGTTGTTATATCTTACGGTAGTGTGTAAGTATATTATTGTGTTCCTTAATTTCATGTTGGAGTGTAATGTCCATTGAATTGGTTTATGTGGTAGTATTTTCATGTATAAATTCTACACTGTCAAAAAGTGTATGACTGTTTTTATATATGAATTCCACACTGCCCAACAAAATGTATAGCTCTTTTTATGTATGAATTCCACACTTTTTTCATATATGAATTCTACTCTGCCAAAAATGTGTATGACTATTTTTATGTATGAATTCCACACTGTCCAAAAATGTATGCCTGATTTCATGAATAATCTATTATACCAAAACACACTGGCCAAACATGGGCGTCAAATATGGAACTTAATTTAGTACGCAAGAATTTGTTTAGGCATTATGCATTGATATTCTCGTACGTATGAGATGCACGAATGGGGAGGAGCCGCACATATGAGGAGGAGTGGCTACATGAATAACCTAAGTTTAATCAAATAATTAAAAGTAATGAAAAATAGTAGAATATAATAAAAGGTAGAGGGTATGTTTGGAAGATATTGACACTATAAATAGCTAAATTCGTATAAAAGATTAAGAAGTGTTATATGCGTAATATTGAGTGACTTGAAGTGCTACGTAGGGTGATTTCTTTTGTGGTAACAATCGGATGTGGGAACTAAGAATCCCAACGAATGGCAGTGATGGAAACTACTAATTTTTTGTATTATTTGTTGGATAAAGCTATTTGTACCCAAGGATTTGTACCTCATTTTGTACACCAGAGGGTTGCACTAACATTTTGTGTTGGTGTAATAATAATTTTTGTTAACGCACCAACACTTTGTGTCAGTGTAAATTTTTGTTAACGCAACAACACTTTGTGTGTGAACCATCAAAATATTGGTGCATACCTTTGGTGTACAAATGGGATACAAATTTTGGGGTACATGTAGCATGCTCCATGTGTCATCATTGAAATGTAAGTGATGCTCGTTTCAATTGTCATCGTCTTCTCTTTGTCAAACTTCAACGAATTTCACCTTTATTTTTTCAAATACAAATAATTTTATTTTTTAAAAAAAATACAAAGAAAAATTTTTTAAAAAAAATTAAAAATGAACAAAAAATAAGATATTGGGTTCCAATGTATAAATTAACTTAGTTCCTATTAATATAATTGAAACCGTCTCTCCTTAAATATGTTTATACGTGTCGGGTTGATCGGATGTTACTTCCTCACGGCTAGGATGTATACACCTCCTTCCGTTTCGATTAGGATTCATAATCCCTATTGTTGTCGATAAGTTTACATGTTTCTTCATCAGTTTATGCCTTAATATTTAATACCTTAACACGCCCCCGCAAGATGGAGGATCCGTTGGAGACGCCAATCTTGGACCGAAATTTGTGAAACAAGGTAGTGCCCAACGGTTTAGTGAGGGTATCCGTTGGTTGGTCGCAAGATGGTATATGACGAACATGCAAACGATTGACAGCGACAAGATCACGGACAAAGAAATAGTCGAGAGCCAAATGCTTCATGCGTGAGTGGAAGACAGGATGTTTGCAGACATAGGTAGCACCGAGATTATCACAATACAAGATCGGTGCACGAGGAGCAGCCACACCAAGTTCACGGAGCAGATTCTGCAGCCACAACATTTCGGTAGTAGCATGTGCAAGGGCACGATACTCAGCCTTGGTGGATGAACGAGAGACCGTTTTCTGTCGCGCCGACTTCCAAGAAACTGGATTAGACCCAAGGTAAACAATATAAGCCGTAGTAGACTTACCACCATCATGCACACCCCCCCAATCAGATTCCAAGAAAACAGTGAGGTGCAACGGAACTTTGGCACGTAAGAAGAGACCATGGGAAAGCGTACCACTCAAATAACGAAGGACATGTTTGGCAGCCTGCCAATGAGTCACTGATGGAGCATGCATAAACTGAGACAATTTATTCACAGCAAAACAAACATCGGGCCGAGTAAGGGATAAATATTGCAAAGAGCCCAACAGCTTTCGGAAGGCAGTGGAATCGGCCGCAGCAGACCCATCTTGTAAACACAAAGAGGATGACGAAGACAAAGGAGTGCTAGCAGAGTTTGCATCCGCCATGTTGTGCTCAGCCAGAATATTATAAATGTATTGGCGCTGAGACAAGAAAACGCCGCCACAAACCGGTATGACCTCCACTCCTAAAAAGTGATGCAAAGGGCCAAGGTCCTTAAGAGAGAATCGACAAGACAACTCATGAATAAAGGCATTGAGGGAGGCCGTAGAATTTCCTGTTACAATAATATCATCCACATAAACCAAAAAGAAAAGTCGCACAGTCCCTTTGACATAAATGAAAAGGGAAGCATCCGCTCGGGATTTGCGAAAACCGAACCCAGCCAAGAAGGTCGCCAACTCTAGATACCAAGCGCGAGGAGCTTGCTTCAAGCCATAAAGAGCCTTACGAAGGTTACACACATAATCAGGATGATTGGCATCCTTATATCCAGAGGGCTGCTCCATATACACCTCTTCATGAAGAGTACCATTTAAGAAGGCATTGTTGACATCTAATTGACGAAGCAGCCAACCGAATGATATCGCCAGAGTGAGAAGGACGCGAATAGTCACAAGTTTAGTAACGGGACTGAATGTCTCATTGTAATCACGACCGGGCTGTTGAAGAAAACCCATGGCAACCAAGCGTGCCTTATACCGATCAATACTCCCATCCGGTTTGCGTTTGAGACAAAACACCCATTTGCAATGAATAGGTCGTCGATGATTACGCGGAACAAGGTCCCAAGTATGGTTCCGTTGCAAGGCCGAGAACTCAGCATCCATAGCCGCCACCCAATTCGCATCCTTGCGTGCCTGCAAATAGGTAAGAGGAGTATCCACTGCAACAGAGGAAACATGGTTAACAAGATTGTCATTAAAGTAACGGGAATTTAACCGCCGCTCACGAACAGGTCGATGCACTGGAGACGGAACACTAGACGGAGGGGAAGACTCAGACACAGGAAGCACATGAGGAGAGGGAGACGGTGCGGAAGCAGAACCTGGGAGAATGGAGGAGGAATTAGGCATGGAATTGTGGGGGGTTACGGCAGTGGTTATGAGGGGAGAGGTTATATGGGTTTGCATGGGAGGTTGCATGGGAAGGGTTTGTGGGGAATTAATTTGGGGAGGAGTGACGGGAATTGGAGAGGGAGTGGAAGGTGGAGTGTGGGGAGTGGGAATTTGAGAGGGAGAATGTGGGAGGGGACCATAGGGGAGTGTGGAGGTGGGAGGGAGTATGGGCAGTGAAGTTGGATTTGGGGTGAGGGGAGAAGTGACCGAAGGAGGTAAAGTGGCAGAGGGAAAGATATGTGGATAAAATTTAACATGACGAGAGAGATACAATTTCCCAAGAACAGAGTCATAACATTTGTAGGCTGAACGAGAGTTGCAGTACCCAAGGAATAAACACGGAGTGGAGCGGGGGAGAGCTTAGTGGGAGCATAAGGACGCAACCACGGATAGCATAAACAGCCAAATGGCTTAAGTTTGTTGTAGTCTGGAGATCGACGAAAGAGAGCTTCATGCGGAGATTGATTAGAGAGTATATGGGTAGGTAAACGGTTAATAAGATAAACCGCAGTATGAAAGGCATAGGACCAAAAAGATAATGGCAGACCCGCAGTGTGAAGGAGAGAGAGACCAGTCTCGACAATGTGTCGATGACGGCGTTCGGTCGTACCATTTTGTTCAGGTGTGTGAGGTGGAGTGGTAAAATGGGAGATGCCATGACTGTTAAACAGTGGAATTAATTTGATAAATTCCCCACCATTATCTGAAAAGACACATTTGATAGTGCGTTGGAGATAATTTTCCACTAGGCATTTAAACTGAGAAAAAAATAGAGAAAACATCAGACTTCCGTTTGAGTGGATACCACCACGTATATTTGGTATAGTGATCAACAAATATAACATAGTGATAATAGCCATCCAAAGAACAGTGTTTAGTACTCCACACATCGGTGTAAATAAGATCCAAGGGGAAACTACTGTGTAAAGTATTAGTGGAGAATGGGAGTTTATGACTTTTATTAATATTGCAAGAGGAACAATGAAAGTGAGATACATCAGGCATATGTGAGAAGCTAGAGCAACTACGCACAATATGGCGAAAGATTTTATTATTGGGGTGCCCCAGGCGATGATGCAGATCGGCAACTGAGGAGACTGCAACGGAGGCTGTGTTCACACTCGGACCAGATGGACTAGGAAGGAAATATAAGTTATTTTTGATTGCTCCCCGAAGCAAGGGTGTCCCCGTACGCACATCCTTGATAGAAAAATGATCAGAAAAAAATTCAACCGAAACATGATTAGTACGACACAATTGAGACACAGATAAAAGATTATTTTGAAGAGAGGGAACACAGAGTACATTGGACAAAGTAAGAGGACGAGAAGAAGTGGACAACCGAGATCGACCAGTGTGAGAGATGGATAAAGTCTTGCCGTTACCCAAACGAATTTCATCCGGTCCACCATACTCCATGAGTGTATTGAGGGAATTTGGGTCATTAGCAACGTGATGAGATGCGCCACTATCAACAATCCATTGAGGATCCGAAGGAGTACCATTTGAGACAGTAACATGAGCAGCAGGGGTGTCGCTATTAGAGGAAGTGATAGTAACATTGTTCTCCCTTAGAAAACGCTGAAGTTTACGGCAAAATCGAGTATCATGACTTGAGAGGTCACAAAACCGACAGTAGCGACTGCCCCTATTGCCACCGGAAGGAGGGCCACGACCGCGGTGACCACCACGGGAGGGACCAGAGTTACCAGCCCGATTGAAGGAACCACTCGAAGCACCTCCACGATCACCACGAGCACGCTGGGTCTGGTTTGCACTAGGAACAAGATCGGCGGCAGCTGCGGTTCGGCTCTGGATGTCACGTTCACAGTCTTCCAAGATAGTAGTAAGTTCCTCAATAGATACACAATCTTTGCGCCCCCGTAATGACTGATAAATAACAGCATAGTCATCACCAAGTTGAGACATAATATGCACCGCAAGATCTTCATCAGACACAGGACTCTGGGCGAGGGCCAATTCAGCGGCAATTTCAGTCATGTCAGTAATAAAGGTGGCAATGGTGCGGTTGCCACGAGGATTCTTAGCCAATTTGGCCTTGAGCGAGATGATGCGGCCTCGGGACATGCTAGCAAGGTTGCGGGTCAGGCGCGACCAAGCGTCTGCAGAGGTGTCAGCGAGAGAGATCAACGGTTGGACGACATCGGTGCAACTCCCAAGGAGTGCACTAAGGAGAATAGCATCCTGCCGGTACCAGGTGGTGTACGCAAGGTTGGGTTTTGTGTGACCGGCGTCCAAGAACGGAGAAACCGAGGAGGTTCAAACCAATGAGTGTGGTATGAACTTATCGGCGCCAAACAAGGAAGTTCGTCTTGGTCAGCTTGATTGGGAAATGCTTAGACGCAGACATGCGAACGAGGTCCGACGAGGATGACGAACCAGAGTCCACGGAGGCGGAAGCGGAGATTGACATCGGTAGCAGTCCGGAAGAGTAAAGTCGCACCAGAGAAGGAGAAAAAAAAATCTGTTTAAAGGTGTATGCTCTGATACCATATAAATTAACTTAGTTCCTATTAATATAATTGAAACCGTCTCTCCTTAAATATGTTTATACGTGTCGGGTTGATCGGATGTTACTTCCTCACGGCTAGGATGTATACACCTCCTTCCGTTTCGATTAGGATTCATAATCCCTATTGTTGTCGATAAGTTTACATGTTTCTTCATCAGTTTATGCCTTAATATTTAATACCTTAACACAATGCCCTTGTGGTTTGGGAATCAGGCATTAATGCCACCCTTCGCCAGAAAAATGAATGAAAAAATAATCCAATGTGGTGTATATCAATGTTTTTAAATCATAAATATTCTATAAATAAACTTTGAAAACACAAAAGTATTGGTGCCTAACTGCCTATATACTTCCTCGATCTTGAAATCGATTACAACTTTTATGGATTACTTCCTCATAGAATATTTTTGACACATCTTATTTTATATAGTACTGTCGATGTAGTCTATGAATATGTAAATTTTATTAATTATTCATATATTGATTTTTAAATATATTAGTTTTAAAAAAATTCAAATTTTCTTCATACATGAGAAATAAAAACCAATTTAGGACAAAGAAAATATTTTCCAAACTACTACTCCCTCCGTCCCAATTTAAATAGTCTGTTTTGACTTTTGGGCATATTTAAGGAAAATAAAAAATAGAGTTGATTTTTCGAAATTGTCATTACTTTTTAGGAGAGGTGACGATGAATGAAAAGATAAGGTCAAGAAGAGTGACTTATTTTAGGAGTAGTTTAGGTATTTTTATTTTTAAAAATTTACGAAAACAACTAACAGACAACTTATTTTAGAACGGAGAAAAAAGGCAAACAGACAATTTAAAATGGGACAGAGCGAGTAAGCACTATAGGTATTTGGCCAATTTTTAAAGTTCATTAGGATAGTGCTTTGAGTGCTTGGACCACCATAGCATCTTAGTTTGCCGGTGACAAAGTAAATAGAGCATCTCCCTTTCACCTTTTTATCTTTTCTTTCTTTTTGAACATGATTCTCTTTCATCTCTCCCTTCATTACTTAGAAATAGTTACAATGTATGGTGACTAGTGAAGGCGGTGAGGTCTAGAACTTTGGATGTAAACTATTTTTATGCACCTTCTCACATCAAAAATCTTTTTTTATTTTATAATTTTTACTTAAAATAAGTGTATATCAAGATAAGTAGAAATTATTTATTTCTCTTATATGTAGGTCAATTGTGCACCTTAGTTTCACCATAGAATTTGCCATACATTAGATAACATTTGAGTTTAATTTTTGGTAAACGCGCAGGGAGATAACTATACAAAACATAGATTGTTTGCAAATACTAGGTGTAGGCTTCATTTTTGCCACCAATTTATGATTAAAGCTTAATTTACCTCATCTCAGTCTCAGGTGACCGTTCGAACGGTTTTTATGGGCAATCTCAGGTGACTGTTTGGACGATTTTAAGGGGCCTTCACGGATGGAATTCATTCTTTTTAGAATGTATTCTCTTCAATTTATTTCAATGGAATATTACTTAACTTCTCTGTCGAGATTTAATCTTTTTCATTTGATTTTTCATAAATTATATTCTAAAAAAAACTATTGATATTACATTTATATCGAAACACAATGTTTTTTTTTTGAAAAACGAGGGCAAAGCTTTAAACTTTTGACCATGCAAAAAGTCAAATGAGAATATTAAATCCAAATTAAGGAGTATTACTTATTGTTATTGAAATCATATCATACCAGATGAGATCATACACAAATATATATATATATATATATATATATATATATACCTTGTATATAATTTGAATCAGATCAAATCATATCAAATCAGATTATATCACATGACAGATCATAAAATTGTATTTGTTGAAGTGAATACGAGTACTTCTCTTTTGTTTTAAATTTAAGTTCACATTTAAGACATTTCAAATTAAATTCTTTTCTCGTTGAATAAAATTAAAAATTACATTTTTCATATTATTTGTTTCTCTTGTATACTACTAATCACAATCACAAAAATACCTCAACTAACCAGGGGCGGACCTAGGGTGGTTGCAGTGGGGTCACTTGCACCCACTCCAAAAAAAATTATTTATTAGTAGTAGTATATAATTAGATATTATATGTAGACTAAGGACATCCAAGGAAAGTATATTTATATGTGATTAGGTGCTATTTTTTAAAAATGGAAGAGATGACACATTCTATAGTTGTGTAGAATTTTATGTTTTAATTCTTTTAGATTTGGAAAACTGATTTACCTTTCATTATGAAACTTAATTATAAAATGTTCAAATTTTTTTTGAAATGTATGAACAAGTTTAATTGTTTTAAAAAGATTCCTAAGATATACTTAGTATTTGAAGAAATGTCTAGAATTACTACTTTAGTTCTTTAATTTTTTTGGTTAAAACAATGAGCGTATTATATTTTTATACCGTATTTAAAAAATATTGCATATAATTCACAATATTAATCCCAGAATGCTATTTATTGATATTTTTTTTATCTTTAAGGTTTTAAATTTATTGTTATACAAATATCAACATTTTTTTTGTGCACAAAATGTGAACCCACTCCCCAAAATTCTTGGGTCCGCCACTGCAACTAACATATGATGAATAAAATGCTCAATTTACAACAAAGACACAGTTATAAAAATGTGGTGAGATAAATCTTGATAGACCGTTTTGGGGAACCAGGGTTTTTCCATTAAAAAATTGCCGCCAGCTAAAAAACAATCAATAAACAAGAAAAATTATGAGAGGCGGGGTCCACATTTTGTGAGATTTATTCGGTCATCCCGTTCTAAGGGCTTTAAGAAAAGAAAGACATGCTAGCATTCCACAAAGTAGCTCAAAATATTTGTAAAAGAAATCTCCTTAATTATTACTCCCTCCGTCACCCAGTTTTTGTCCACTTTTGACTTTTGGAACTGTTCATCTAAGTACTTTAACTCATCAAATTCTCTCAATGTGTAAGCCTAAATATAGTCATGTGTGATCTTGTTTGATTTGTCTTAACATATAGATTATTAATATATAATTTCTATAATTTTTTAATATACAAATTACAAGATAAAATGGATTAAAGAAGTGCATTGGATGGTGTGCAAAAATGAAAGTGGACAAAAACTGGGAGACGGAGGGAGTAGTAAAAAAGCTGAAATTTTTAAAACAAGAGTTTTAAACCTTCATACCAAGATAGTATTGTAATGATAGTGTTCTGTGTTGACAATGTGATAGAAAAGTGATCACAGTGTAATATATTAGTGTGATCATCAATCAATCGTCGGTGATCCGCGGTGACACTCTAGTGGCCAGTAGCAACAAATAGCAGCGTGACACTGATACGAAGATAGTTACAATGTCAAAATGTGGTAAGTGTGACAGTGTAATAATGGCAGTGTAAATTCCTATTTTGGTATTTTTATAATTTTTTAATCTTACCTAAGGAGTTCTCCATATTTGTAATGCATACTCCCTCCGTTCCAATATGATTATAAATTAGGATTTATGAAGTAAAATCCTATATCTTCTATAATCATTTTATTTACAAATTATCACATCAATAAAAAATAAAAATTATATATTAAAAAATTACATCAAAAATTATACAAAATAATAGGTGACAAGAATATTTTATTTTATCAAATAATCAATGAAAACACACAAATAAACAAAAATTATCAAGATGAGAGAAAAAAAGATTGCAATCAAATTTGGGACGGAGGGAGTAGTATTTTTGGTATTATATTGACATTATTCGTAATCCCTCCATCCTTGAATGTTTACCACATTCCAAAAAAGGAGGCAAAATATCAAGTTTTTCAATTTATTTTATTTAAATATTGGTATAGAATGAAAGGTAAGTTCTATCGATCCGTAGTCAGACCTGCTATGTTATATGGGGCAGAGTGTTGGGCGGTTAAGAAGACTCATGTGCGTCGTCTGCATGCGGCGGAGATGCGGATGTTACGATGGATGTGTGGGAAGACAAGGTTGGATAGGATTTCGAACGAAGTTATCCGACGTCAAGTAGGTATGGCACCGGTGGAAGACAAGTTGCGGGAAGCGAGGTTGAGATGGCTTGGCCATGTGAGACGGCGGGATGCTGACGCCCCTGTACGGAGATGCGAGAGGATTACGGTTATCGGGGGAAGTAGGAGAAGGGGTAGACCTAAGAAGAATTGGGAGGAGGTGATTAGACATGATTTAGGACTTCTCGACCTGACTGAGGATATGGCCCTAGATAGGAACCTTTGGAGAACTAGGATTAGAGTAGCTGGATAGGAGCTCGGTGTTGTAGAGGTTGTTTTGTAGTGTGCTGTATTTGTTTGGAATCTTCTGCTATTGTTTGTATTTGTTGCTTGTACTTGGTGTCTTATCTGTGCTATGCTGTGTTCTCTTCCATATTTTTGTGCAGGTGGAGCCGAGGGTCTCTTGGAAACAGCCTCCATACTTCCGAGTAGGGGCAAGGTCTGTGTACACACACCCTCCCCAGACCCTACTGTTGTGGGATTCAACTGGGTTGTTGTTGTTGTTGGTATAGAATTAAAAAATTACCTGTAAAAAAACTACACGAAAAATTCTTTGAAATAAGAAATGTCAAGAGAATTTTATTTTATCAAATAATCAATAAAAACATACAAATAAACAAAAGTTCTCGTGACTGTTGAAAAGAAAAATATGGCAACTTTGGGACGAAGGGAATATTAAGATTTCTATTTTGTGAATGAAAATATTAAGCTCTTATTTTGGTACGTTATTTATATTTTACTCTTAATTTAATCTTTTTTTCATTATTTAGACTTTGTTCTTTTCAGTTAGAATTTTAAATTTGAATATTGAAAGGAACTAGAAAGAGTTAGAAAAAACTAAAAGGAGTTGAAAAAGTTAGAAAATCATTCGATTAAATGATCACTCAAATAAATATGCAAGAAAACTAATTTTGGACATAAACAAGAATTCATCTCTCTCCATGGTTGATCTGTTATGTTATAAATTTGAATTTATAATATTATTATAACTGGACAAATACTCATGAACGAGAGTAGTTTCACATTATATCTATTCACTATTAATCTACACATCATATCGTATTTTTGTCCATCACGTCAAAGAACAAAATTCAAAAATTAACTACCATGTTTAAAATAACTCCCCTTAGAGCATTTACAAGGAGGTGAACTCTCATCCCCTCCCAATCCCTGCCATATTATCATTCTTCTCTTTTTCGGTAGCAAGCCATACCACGTGTAATGTTATTGCCCTTTCACCTCGCCTCTCCATTTGTTTTACATTATTTATCAATTTTAATTAAAAATTTATAGAAATTCAAAAGACGCAATAAAAAATCAATGAAATATAACAACACGATTAAAAAATATAAGTAATAAAGACTATTACAAAGTAATAAAAATAATAAAGAAATCGTAAATAATAAATTAAAAATTAAATAAAAAGAACAACATAAATTAAATTTAATACTCCCTCTGTCCCATAAAGTGTTACCCATTTTGACTAAAGTTGAAATTAAAGGAGTGATAATTTTGTGTTGACTTTCCAAATATACCTTTGATGTGATGGGTAAAAGTAGGATGTGATGTGTAGGTTATTAGAAAAAGGTATGATGTGATAGGTAGGGTTTGAAAAAGTAAGGGGTAAAAGTGATTTTTTAATAGAAATGGGTAAGGGATTGTGGGACGCAATTTTTTTAAAACGTGTAAATATTTTTGGGACGGAGGGAGTACTTAATTACCCGCCGGAAAATTTTTTTCACAAAAAAAAAATTACTGCCAGGAAAGCAGTCAAAAAAGCAAAAAGAATATGGAAGGAGGGGTCCACATTTTGCAAGTCGCCCATTCCAATGGCTTTATTAGGAAAAGAAACGACAATGAAACGCTTGCCTTTTTTTTTTACCGCACTATTTATACCACGTAATATTGTTTTGTCCCTCAGCATAGCCACAAACTAAAATTCAAAGGATACGATGAAAAACCAAAATATTGTTTCCTGTGCTTTTGTTGTTTTCCTCTTCATCTTCTCCCAAACAATTTCTGGTCGTCTTTTGTTGGAAAACAAACAAGGTAAATTATCTAATTGTATAGAATTGAAATTTATATGTAAAAAAACTATTTATATAACTTACTTTATCTTATACTCATATTGAGTAGTTTACTCCTTAAATAAGTTAAATTAAACTAATTACTGCATCTACTTTCTTTCTTTTTTTTTCTCCCAGACAATGAAGGTGGGGTGAAGCTTGGAAATGAGGTCACCGCAACCGTGAAGTCTGAATACACTGATTCTCTAGAGGTAAAATTTATAAAAAGTATAGAAATTCGTATTTATATATATAGCTTTACTTTTTCAAGTTAACCTGAACAAATTTTACGTTAGAGTATAAAAAAATAAAGTTTTGCGTGCAAAGTTTGAAGCAGTTACGCCTGCACGTCAGGAACATGTTAGAGCATTAAAAAGAAATTCTAAATCACAATCACAAACTTAAACTTTTGGAGTTAGAAAATCAATTATATTCTCCGAATTTATATATAAGTGAATAATTTTATTCGACACGATATGCAGGAGTTGATGGGGCTGGAGATATGTGAAAATAGAGATGAAGAATGCATGAGGAGAAGGCTCGATGAAGCTCTTCATTTGGATTACATATACACGAAAAAAAAGCCACAAAATTAAACCATCTACATCATAAAATTAAACCATATAGTTAATGTGTTATTAGTTTCTTCTGGGCAATATTAGGAAAATTTCATTTGTTACATTATTTTTTGACATTAGAGACAAACACACACACACACACACACACACACACATATATATATACATATATATATATATACACACACACACACACACACACACACACACACATATATATATATATATATATATCCTCTTACTAGTGTCAAATTAAAATATTGTTCCAAGTGGAATTTCCCGAACTTTTTTCATATATGTTTCGCCTGCAAATATTAATATTAATTGGCACCTCCAAAATTGTTACTAGCATTCTTGTTGCTTTTATTTCTGAAAACGTACTAATATGAATTTAATCTCTGGTCCCAAGCACTAGCTACCTGATCATGTCTTCATTGTCTTGTATGTAAAAAGCAAATACTGAGTATTAATATATTTGTTTAATTTTGTTTGCTAATAACATTTTTGACGAGCTTTATTTACTGTGTATAATACTCCGTAACTTAAAAAAATTTACACGTTAAAAACTACTCTTGAATAATATGATGTTTTCAAAATGTTGAAACTAAATATAATGGTGTTTTGAATATGCCATTTTAAAATATACCATTTCAAAATGCTGAAACTAAATATAATGATGTTTTGAATATACGGAGTACCATTTTAAATATGGTCATCAAGTTAGTCTATTTTACACATTAGGTAGTTTCTTTAATGATTAGCAAAATCACACTTTTGACTCTCACAAAAATATCACTACTTTGGGTTTTGAATCCTAGACAAAAAATATTAAGAGATGGTGATCTTAGTATTTTTTAAATGGAAATACTAGAGTGTTTCCAAATGCTTGCTACCATGGATGCATCCAAACTTTGCACATATGATTATCATTCGTATCATATGTGCAAAGCTTGGATGTACTTATGGTAGCAACTATTTGAGACACCCTGGCATGACTTTTTTTAATTAAACCTAATGATAATCTCAGAGAGGTAAAACAACCAACTAAACTGAATGGCCGAACTTGTAGTTGTAGCTAGCTAGCCCAAAAAAGGTTATATTCTAACATGCCTCTCATGTGGAGTTGAGATATAGTATTTTTCTCGAGTCCACGTGTTGATTAATTTTTTTAAAAAAAAAATTGGGTGTGAGGTCCGAACTCGTGATCTCATGGTTATCAAGATTCTGATATCATATCAAAGAATGAACTCAACTAAAAATTCGAATTTGTAGTTGTAGACCCGGAGAAAGTGATGTACTCCAATACATAATATTTCCTCCGTTCTTAAATGTTTACCACATTTCAAAAAACGAGGTAAAATATCCAATTTTTTCAATTTATTTTATTTAAATATTGGTATCGAAATAAAAAAATTTATATATTTAAAAACTACTTGAAAAAAAAATTCGAAATAAGAGGTGTAAATAATACTTTATTTTATCAAATAATCAATGAAAATGTACAAATAAACAAAAGTTCTCGTGATGGTTGAAAAAGAAAATAATGTGGCAAATATTTTGGGATGGAGGGAGTACATAGTTTATTTGTGTTTTTTATTGATTATTTGACAAAATATAATATTGTTAGTTTTTAAATATGTAAGTTTTATTTTCTACTTATATATTTTCTCCGTCCCAAAAACGTCTTCCCTTTTTTTCTTGTCCCACAAACTCCATCACTTTTCTATTAAAAAATCATTCTTATCCCTACTACTAATATCTATCCATCGCATCCTAGCTACTTTTACCCATCACATCAAGGGTATTTTTGGAAAGCCAACACAAAAAATATCTCTTCCTTAAATTTCCTAAAAACTAAAATGAGAACATCTTTATGGGATAGAAGAAATATCAATCTTTAAATAAAATGAATTAAAATATTTAAAATATTACTTCGTTTTGCGTAAAGGGGTAAATGATTTAGGGACGGATGGAGTATCTAATAAGATATTCTTGGTACCCTGAAAATTGAATAAATGTAGACACAAAGTTAATTAATATTCATTCACTTTTTAATGTATCAAGAATATCTTATTAGACAATTAATATGAAATGGAGAAAATAGCTAGTAACTATGTGTATTTTGATAATTATTAATGTGGGCATTTCTTTATGCCTATAAACTGGTCAAAAAGGTTAAGTTATAAATCAACTGATGACATATTTCTTTGTGCTTAGAAACTGCTAATAAGTAAAAAATTAAGTGAGTCTTTCTTGCTTATTTTTAAGTTAGTTTTTTTTGTTTCTTCATTTTGACCAGATTATTTACAAAACTATCTATCACCATTTATGAATATCACCAAATGACTTATATGTCATTTAAGTCAATTTATTTCCACAAAAGAATATTTTATTTATAAGCATCTTATAAGTTAAAAGCTACTTATCGACAATAAGCCTATAAACACAAAGAAACACCTTCAATATAACATATTTGTTGATGAGCATAGACACTTAGAACATATTCTCTTTTATTTATTCTTATCGATTTATCATTTATGGAGTATTGCTTATTCTTTTTGGAGTCAGATTAGAAATAACTTTAAGAGTTTGTTTGGTATACATAGTTGATAAGATTGGAAATTCTATGAAATTGATTTGGATGGTATTGAATTCTTCAATTCCAATTCATTTTTTGCATTACCAGTTCCAAATTCACATATTTTTTGTGCTACCAAATGACAGAATTAGAATTGGAGTCTCCAATTCCATTGTTTAAATTCTACGTACGAACATAGCCTAAATATAACGCAAATTACATTAGATCAAGTCTTAATAAAATAATATCCAACATGATCTTAATAATAATAATAATCCGTATTTTTAATTAGGATTTACTCATTCTAGGAAATGCTCATTCTAATGTAAAAACAAAAACAAAGAAAGTGGGATTCTTTGTCGTTTATAAATTATAATACTCTATCTCCCCATAGAATTTTATAATTTATATTTGATCGAAGACCGTCAATACAAAAAATGAAAATGTGTTACCTTTTAAATATAAAATGATATAAATCACATAATTCTTTAAAAAAAAAACTAGGTCAAGTTCTGGAATAGGCCCAGTGCCCCAGTAGGCCGCTGCCCAAGGCCCATATTCTTGTTCACTATAAACTATACGAAGTTAAAAAAAAGAATTGTTTTATACTTCAGACTCTAGTCCACCTAAAACAATTTGGGCCTTAGACCAACTGTATTGTAGTGGCCCAATCGTATATCTTCGATCCGCACAAGAAAGATCAGATCGAGCATTTCTTAATACTCAATTTGAGTGCGGGCGGTTGTGGCAAAGCCCAATAACATAACTCACAACCCATAATGTTTGTTTTCTTATTATTACGTTTTTTCCCATAATATTTGTTTATTGAAATGTTTTTATTGAAAATATAGTGAAATAAAATATATTTATCACTTTTTATTTTATAAAATTTCTAGCATAATTTTAAAAATAGTATGGAGTAAATTTTTCTCGTACTTTTTTATACCAATTTTTAAATGAAATAAATTTAACCGATTTAGTTTTGTGGGTGATTCAAACAATGCAATCTATTAAAAGACAAATGGTGTTTTTTTCACTATAAAAAAAAGATTCTCATTGTTTCATTATTTTCAAAAAATGAAAAAGTAATGTAAAAATTAAGAAAAATAAGATGCTAGTGTAGTTGATACTATGACCTAAGAATAAATATGGTCTACTACACAAATATGATCAAACATAGTATGAGACTAAAATCATGAGACTAGATAAAAATAAATAAAATGAGACAAAAATAATAAGATGAAGGGAGTAAACCATTCGGTCAATATCTCTGTCACGAGTCAACCCAAATCATCCCTTGAACCATGGGTGTTGGTGTAAACCACCATTTATCTTGTTTAGTTGATTAGTTACACAGTTTGTTAGTTTGTTAGGAAGATATTTTTGGTTGTTACTTTTTTTTCATTTTCTATATTTATAGGACTTAACCATGTAATACACAATTTGAGCTAGTTAATACAATTTGATCCTTTTATTTCCAACATATATGGTATTAGAGCGGTTGGTTTAGCTCCACCCAATCGGCTCATTATCTTCAATTTCTCTCTTGCTTTCATGGTGGAAACTCTCTAGATCTCTAAAGAAGCTGAATAGCGGATTCCTCGCACTCCTCCGCCCTGCAGAGGCGAGAGATGGCTTGATGTTGATAGCTCTGAGAAGAAACAGTTACGTTCTCTTCAAAAATGCGATTGTCACCTCCGACCTCTCATAAGATCTCGTAGACGAAGAAGAAGCTGTATTAATTGTCTTCGTCCAGACCGATTCATCTATTTTTGCGTTCGATCATAATTGAGGAGATGGAGAATCGACTCCTCCGCCAAGCTCAAAAACGAACTCGATCAAATCGGCAGCCACAAGTTCTTCTTTCAGATCTCATCAAATTTTATCTCTGAAAAATCTAGAGTCTTGTTCAAGATTTGCGCCGTTGCCTGCATCAAAGCCGTCAGCGGCTGTGACTCTGTCAAGGAATCCGCCGTGACTCCATCTTGCATCCCCGTCCAGATAGCCTCTTTTTCTGCCACTTCAATCGGCTTCTCCTCATCTCCTGGTTCATCTCTCCGCAATTTGAGTCCTCTCAATCGCCGGCGGGACAGTCATATTATCTCGTCAAGATAGAAAGTGACGTTTGGATGATCACAGCGGCGGGGGCGGCTCAGCGGAGTGGAGATTTGGCGATTGAGTTGGAGATATAGAGAATTATGGTAGGTGCCGCGAATGGGGAGATGATGAGAACCGCCAGCCTCCCCCTCGAGACTATCGGCGCTGCTGCTACTGCAATCGCGCTTCCGCAGGGAATTACTCCTCTCAAGCTTCCGCCCAGAAATTGAAGAACTCCAAATCTGGAAAAAGATTATCTCCTGAAATCTCGATGCTATTGAAGATGATTGAGTAAAAGAAAACTCAATCCTCCATTTTTCCGGCGACGATGAAGAATCTGATTCGGTCTGAGCCCTAGACGGCTGAGCCGTCTCGATCTCGATTCAAGTCATTCATGTACGATGAGGTGGTGGAGTTCATGGTGAAGGTTTTGTCTTCTCTGTCTGAATCTGAGGAATTGAGTGTGGAGGAGCGCAACCTTCTCTCCATAGCCTACAAAACATCATCGGCACTTGCAGGGCTTACTGATGGACTATCTCCTGCATCTGCCTCTGTATTTCCCAGCGCCTATCTGTCTATTAATCTCTCCAAATCAGGTTTCATCACAGTTGATTCATATTGATCCTCTGTTCATTGTATTGGTTCTCAAATTGAGTATCCAACTTCATTTTCATTCTCATGATTGGAATGTTTAGTTTCAGTCATTCTTTCACTTCTGTAAATTCAGAAGTTTCATCATGATCAATTTCACTCAATCGGTTTGATTGAGTTTCACTCGTATCGTTTTGATCGAGTTTCACTCGAATCGTTTTGATCGAGTTTCACTCTCATCATCATCATCCGGTTTTCAGTTGAATTCATGAATTGTTTTTGTCAATTGATTTCATTTCATCATTTGATGTTTTCGTTTGAGTTCATCAATTGATTTTTCATCTCATCTTCATCATCGGTTGTCTATGGTTTCCTTCTCTGTTCGTTCGGGGAACCATGGCTGCCATCACTAGCACATTGCTGTTTTTTTATCACCTCTCATCTTCCTATTTCATCTCTGAACCTGGGAGTGATGTTGTCTACAATCAAAAGCATTATTTTCCCATTCAACAGAGAGTTGTGCCTCTCAGTTTCAGAATCAAGGGCCTTCAGATTTTGAGTTGTGCCTCCACTGTTCTGCAGCATGTCTCTAGCAAGTCCAAGTTCAAAGATCTCAAAGTTGACTCTCTTCGACACTGATATCATGATGGGGCGCTTGAGGTGTTTGGCATAACTTTGGAAGAGAATGGAGCTAAGTCTACATGTTGGTTTAGGATGCTGCAAGTTGTTTATGCACGATCAAGACTCAAGAGGATCTTCATACACAATGCAGCACAAAGGATTTTTTTCAGTTGCAAGTTGAAGTTGTTCCCACCTTCAACTTGAGGGGGGTGTTGGTGTAAACCACCATTTATCTTGTTTAGTTGATTAGTTACACAGTTTGTTATTAGTTTGTTAGGAAAATATTTTTGGTTGTTACTTGTTTTTCATTTTTTATATATAGGACTTAACCATGTAATACACAATTTGAGCTAGTTAATACAATTTGATCCTTTCATTTCCAACAATGGGCGGAGCCATGGGAAGGGCATGTGTCGCACCGAAGTGATTCTGGCAAAACCATAGTTTTCAGAACCGGACCGGTGACCGAACTGGTCTCGGTACTGGTTCACTGGTTTACTGGTCGAACCAGTGGTTCAACTGGTCGAACCGGTGGTTTAAACATTTTTTTAAATTATATATATATATATATATATATATATATATATATACACTCTCTCTCTCTTATTTATAAATATTTAGAGTAAATAATTTATAACATTTGACCAAATCTATATTAATTTACTTCAGTTATGTCACTAAGTTTAAAAATAAAATTTACATATTTAAAAAACAATATTAAATATTTTATAAACAAAGAGTTAATTTTATTTTTTTTCAAATAAATTATCTTATATTAAAAAACACCGAAATGAAATCTTTACATAATATTTGTGATAGTATCAATTATATCAATGATTTTGAGTTTGAATCATAGCTATAATATTATGTTTTTTTAAAGTTTTATAAAATAAGAGTTGATATGATTTTTCAAGTAATTTATCCAATATTTAAAATATATAAATAAAACATTTGTGTGATCTGCATTTTTCTATTAATATTAAATGGTTTAGATTTTGAATCTAAGCTCAAAACCCAAATGTAATACTCCGTATATATTATCAAAGTTATCTGAAAATTAATCGTATGCTTAAAGAATATTTGATACAAATAACCAAATGTACAAAGTATTAACAACTTGCGTCATGGCGCACTGGGTAATGGGGTGACAGATGTTCTGGGACGCCAGGGGTTCAAATCCCTGCGTCTGGAGTTTTGAAAATTTTAACAAAAAAATAAAAAAAAAATTCGGTTGCCGGTTTAACCGGCCGGGTTACACCGGTTTTATCCGGTTCCCGACGGTTCAATGTTAGTCGCGTTCTGAAGGGCTGGACCGGACCGGTCTCGTCTCCCGTTCGCCGGTTTTCGGTCCGTCCGGTTTTAAAAACTATGGGCAAAACTTTCCTGAGGTGATTCCGACAAAGATGCTCCTTTAATTTTTACTCCCTCCGTCCCCTGTATTTGTCTACTTTAATATTTTAACGCGATGGTGCCCCCTCTCTCGAGGCTTGAAATCTTCCTTCCGCTACTGTCATGAGCTATTTATTGAGTCATCAGAGAATAGATTATGTGGTTGAATCATGTTTACTAGTCTTGATATATACGGAGTATTTGATAGATTATGAAATCTTATTTAGAAATCTGATTTAGAGATGAAGAAAGAATACCTTTTAACTCCACAATTTTCACTCATAGTCCGTTCTCTGTACTTCCTCCGATCCGTCCCACAATGAGACTCTTCAATTTATAATGTTTGATTGAAATTATTTTTTTTCAAATCAATATAAGTAAAAATTGGCATAGAATTAAAAAAATTATATATTAAAAGACCAAACCAAAAATTTTACAAAATAAGTGATAATGAGATTGTTTTATTTTATTAATGATCAACAAAAATATTTAAAGAAAATAAAATTAATTTGAGATGTGAACAATAACTAGGAATTTTTATTAAAGACCGAGTTAGTACTTTACTTAAATTATAAGGAGCAAAATTACCAAATTAGGAGAGGATAATTAGAGGTTGAAGGTGTGGCACGCAACACATGAGACACAACTTTTAATTGCCCGTCCAGTGTTTACGTCTCAATTTACAACTCTCCAAAGGCTCTCAATTATTATTTTTAATCATTTTTAAAATTATTTTGATTACAAATGGAAGGAAAATAAAAAGTATAAATTGCACCGTTCAAAAATATATATATAAAAATTTCAAAACTATATGATAAGAATATTTTATTTTATCAAATAAACGATAAAAACACTCAAATAAACAAAAATTATCGAGAAGGAGTAAGAGTAAGAATGAATCTATTTTGGAGTGGAGTAGTAGATAAATGTGAGTTGTCCTTTTCCTATAAACCAAACGCGGACTTACTTGTACATCTGGAAGTATTGAAAACGTGAAGAGCACATGATATTTGCCCTGATCTCGGAATCTTGATTTGGGCTCACTTTATTCATCATTATTTATTGAGCAATCCTAGGGTACACCATTTGGGGTACCCCAAATGTACACAACACTCTTTTCCTCTACATATTTTTATTTGATTTTTATTTACTTACTTTTTTTGAATTTTTTTGCCTTTTTTTTTAGTGGACAAGGAGGGGGTGGGGGACATTTGGGGTACACCTTTGGTGTACCCCTAGCATTTTTCTTATTTATTACTCCATCCCTTCTTTAAATATCTCTCCGTCCCAAAATATAAGTAACACTCCACTATTTAAAAGTCACAGGAATTTTTATTTATTTTTGCATTTTCATTGATTATTTAATAGAATAAAGTATTTTTGTCACCACTTATTTTGTAGAACTTTTGACGTAGTTTTTAAATATGTAAGTTTTATTTTTTATTTGTAGACCATTCTTTAAATAAAATGGATTGAAAAATTCAAAAAATTATTCTGATTAGCGTAATGTTACTTATATTTTGGGACGGATGGAGTAATAAACAAGGAGCCACATCATTATATACATTATTTTAACCATTGATTCACCGAAACGAATATTCCATCTCTTTATACACTACTCTTTCCGGTCCTAAAATTATTTTCGGTTTTGATCTATTTGGACAAATAGTAATATTTTTTTTACTACAAATATCACTTAAAAATCAAAAACTATCATTGTTTGATCCAAAAAATCAAAATAGAAAAGATTTTTTAGGCTAGATAGAATATTGATCATTATTTTTTATGAAGTACTATTCAAAATTCACGAAAATTCGTCAACTAATTCATCTAATGCATGAGAGGGATATCAATGTGATTAAAATAGACGAGATTTTATCAAAAATTCATGAGACACGAATGAGACGAGTAAAAATAGAATTGTGGAACTTTAATACTGGATGGGAGGAATCATATTAATGTGTGAAAGTTTAATCATATTTTTCATAGAATAAAAAATAATTTCTTTCCATTAGTGCATGACACAAGCTAAAATATTACTCTGTAATTAATAAAAATAATGACTCCACTCGCCATGTCGTATCAGTCTACTCGTTTTGTCAGACATTGAACCAACTATATTTTACTATTGATTACAATCTACTCCCTCCGTCTCAAAATATTTACAACATTTACTTTTTCAGCAGTCGCGAGAACTTTTGATTATTTTTACGTTTTCATTAGTTATTTGATAAAATAAAATATTCTTGACACCTCTTATTTTGAAAAACTTTTCATGTAGTTTTTGATATGTAAATTTTTTTTATTTCTATGCCAATATGTAAATAAAATGACTTAAAAAAAGTTGACATTTTACCTCAAAAATACAAGTGTGGCAAATTTTTAGGGACGAATATTATATTATGTTAAATTAATGATGCCATAAATAAATGGAATAGAGTCCAAGTTGGGTCATGGCCCGCCCAATGCCCATTGGGGAGCAGTGTGTGGCTGGGTATGGATGACTGCTGTAGCGGGTCGCCGGTCACCCAAATCTCATGTGAGTATTTATACCCCGCCATCGAATCATCATTTCGTAACCGCCGCGTCAACTCTGCCCTCGCTTTTTTGACACATTTACATTTATGCCATTTTTGTTATGCTCGCTGACGTGTACCGGGAGACTCCGATCGCCGCCGTCTCCCTCTGTTTCTCGTCTGCCTCACCGCCGCTAACCTTTCCGACGATCGGACTTTAATTCCGAGGACCAGAACTGATCCCGTTATATCGGATCCGATGCCGAGCCCGAAGAATCGGAAGGGAAGATTGGCCGAGAAAGCGATGTCGTTTAGCGGGCAGAGCGGCGCAAGCGCCGCCGTACTGCTTCAGAGGCCGAGGACGGTGCCGGACTTACTCTCGGGCCGGAAAATTCCTTCCTCCGCCTGTGCGTCGCCGGATCTCCCGCCGAAGCTCACGAAGTTGCTGGTGAATGTGACGGTACAGCGGAGCGCCGGCCCCTTGCACGTGTTGATTTCGCCGGATTCAACGGTAGAGGACCTCATCGCCGCCGCTCTCCGGCAGTACGCGAAGGAAGGACGGCGGCCGGTGCTTCCCTCTACCAGCGCCGCCGATTACGGGCTTCATTACTCGCAATTTAGTTTAGAGAGTAAGCTCTGCTCGCCTTCCCATCTCTTACTCCCTCCATCTCCAACCGCTCTCCAATTTATTTTTTTACCAAATTAAGATCGGATAAA